ATATGGTTTAACTGCATCTTAAAAAATGCAAGTACTAAATGGATGGAGATTTTTTTCATTCGGTTGTAAAAATTTGTCCTGTAAGATAGCTCCAAAGTTCAGTACATTTTTGACAATCATAATGTTAGTGCATGATTTTTGCTTAGCCTTCTGGAATCTAAGAAGGAATCCACTGTGAAAATATACAGTATTTTTCTCTTCTAGTTTTTCCTCAGTGCTTAATGGAAGATGTTTTGCAAGTTACTTAATTTTCCTGATCAATTGCCACATCTGTAAAACTTGTGGAAAACTATATAATTCAGAGGGCTATTGCGAAGATTTTATTGCAATAACATAGGTATAAAATAGTGCAGTGTGGTATCTGCGTATATAGTAGGTGCTAATTAAAAATGTAAATTGCCCCAAGTGGTTCTTGCAAATTTTTATGCTTTATTTTATCTCTATCTGATGCCTTGGTTTAAACTAGTAAGGATGTATTACTTTTCTAGTTTAATACTAAGGAATTATGTATGAAAAGGAATGTGTAACTTAATGTCAGCTTTTCTTCATACTGTCATACACACCTGAACATTCTGATAGAGCTCATTGAACTACTGGGTGGGCACTATGGAAGCTAAAGAATAATAGTTAGCATTTAAAAAGTTTTCACTTGGTACCAGGAACTATGTTGGTGGTTTTACATGTATTGTCTCACTTATTGTCACAATACCCTTATGAAGTAATTACTGTTCCAGTTTTATGGAGGAGGAAATTGAGATGGAGAAGTTAAGAGATTGTCCAAAGCCACCCAACTAGTTATGTGACTGAACTAGGACTATTCCATTAGTGCTGATGTGCTACTTGTTAAAGTGATCTTCAAACACGTTTACTCAGTTCTCAATTAAAATTGTTTGAAAACCTATGTATTTCTTGTACATTTTTAAATTGACTTAATTTTTTCATTATAAGTTTAAATAGTTGTAGAGGGTAATGTGTGTTGTAAATATTGATATAAAGTACAGCTTTTAAAATTTTTGTCAGCTATTCTTCAGAGGACTCACATCTTGAATGTATAAATAACTCAGACAATTAGGCCACCCAAAATAAAAGCCCCAATCAAAAATGGGCATGTGAAATGGATAAACACAAATGGCCAATACACATATGGAAAAATGTTCAGTATCTGCAGCCATTAGAGAATTCCAAATTAAAACAACACTGAGATTTTTTCTTACATTGGGAAGAATGGCAAGCATAGAGAAATCCAGTAATACTGGGGTGGTTGTGTGAAGAAGGAATCCTTCTACATTGTTGGGTTGTAAACTAGTACAACCAGTATGGAAATCAGTGTGGAGATTTCTCAAAGAACTAAAGTTGGAAATTTCATCTGACCCAGCTATTTCCCATCTAGCTCTCTTCCCCCAAAGAGCTAAAGATGTATTACAGTGACATATGAATAGCCATGTTTCTAGCAGCACAATTCATAATAGCTAAATCCTGGAAGCAGCCTCTGTGTCCATCAACGATGGGTGGGTAAAGGAAAGGTGGGGTCTGTATATAGTGGAATACTTTTTGGCTATAAAGACAAATAAATTTGAGACATTGGTAGGAAAATTGATACACTTGGAAAATACAAAGTTAGGTGAAACAAATTAGATGCACAAGCTTAAATACCATATGATATCCCTCTTTTGTGTAAGGCAAGGTGTAAATAAAGAGCAAAATAAAGGATTGTTGGAAGGAAAGAGGGAGACAGATATTTTGCACATGGGAAGGGGTCCAGGAGACTGAGCGTGAAGCAAGGGAGGGAAGGGGAGTAAAAGATTTAAGGTGTGGCGTGTACGTGTACCAGATACCCATGATGAGTGGAAGCAGATGTCATACACGTGAACTAAAGATGATGGTGATGTTGATGGTGATGAAATCGGGGAAAGGAAAGTTAGAGACAAAAGGTGGTGAGTGGGGAGGAGAAGAGGAATAAAAAATCAAGATGTGTTATGCATAGGTACCTACTCCTAAGATGAACATAAACTGTATATGTTGCTAGTACCAATTAAATAAAGTTTAAAAAAGAATATGTAAAAAATACAGTATTTTCATCCAGTATGACCTCAATTCTACTGTTAACTCATGTAAAAATGTCTAAGAAGCTCTTCATTAATAGTTGGAAGTTCAGCATTATGTCCTTTTCCATTAACTTTGTATGTACATTCATCCTCTGCAGAATTCTATTGCAATTTACAGTTTATGTTTAAGATTTATTAGCCAGGCATGGTGGTGCATGCCTATAATCCCAGCACTCAGGAGGCTGAGGCAGGAGGATCACTGTAAGTTTGAGGCCAGCCTGGACTACGATGTGAGTTCAAGGCCACCCTGAACTGCTTAGTGAGACCTTGCCTCAAAAAGATGGAAAAAAAAAAAAAAAGACTTACTAATCATGTTGTTATTTCTCTACAATAAAATATGTATTTAAATTGAAATTGGTCATATTTTAAAATTTCCTATTACCATGAGGCTTTTTTGTTGATTAAGTATTTTCTAGCCATACCTTTCATGATTTCTTCACTTTTTTCCCTTTTAATTAGTGGTTGCTCTAGAACTTACCATATCAGTACCTTCTTCCCATAATCATTAGGATTTAAGTGTTATGACTTTGCCTCTGAATGGTATTATTACAATTACTGTTAAGTTTACAGTTGGTCAGAAAAGTATAAATATATTACATATTTTAAAATTAAACATAAAAACTTTCAGTGGGAACAAAATAATACAGGTGGGCTTTTTTCCTCTTCTTTCCTAGTTGGTTCATGAATCTATAAAGGAATATACTTAGAGCTAGAATTCAATAGGGCCCAACATAAGTTTTATTCTAAAATTTAAAAAATATCTATGTGCTTGGTGAATAGTGATGTCTTAAGCAAATGAGAATTGAAGAGTTTTGTAATAGTAGTGTCATTTAGTTCTTTGAATTTCTTTGAGTGTCATTTCAAACAAAAAATTGTGTAACATAGTAAATGATGAGAAAATGTACTGCTGGCCCTGCCAGGAAGTTTTTGTACTTAGGTAGTACACAAGGGAGGTTATAAGTGAAAGATAGGGCTTTATGGAATAAGTGGGAGAATGAAGGTTGTACAAAGAACTGTAAGACAGGAGACTCAACATGATGCCACACTGTGTGTTTTCTTAGTAAATATTAAACAAAAATATATTTGGAGGTTGAGGGCTGGATGTTTATCCCCCAGGCCATCCGTGCCCATGTACTCTTACGGGAAGGCCTGCTAAGGTAGAAAGGTCCAATGACAAATCCTGAGGCAGTCCCAATCTCCTTCTCAGTGTTAGGATATAGACCAGTGGTGGTGAGCTTGTGGCACATGTACCATAGTTGGCATGCAGAGCCCTCTGTGTCAGTGCACGAGCCAGGTGTGTAAGTATTCTGGATTCAGGTTTAATTGCAGTGTTGGCACCTTGTGATGAGTAAGTGGTTTTGGGTTGCAGTTTGGGCACTCGTCTCTTGAAGGTTCACCATCACTGGTATAGACAGCAAATTACAGCACTGTCCTGCACGTTGTAGTCTGGGAAGTAACTTACGTACAAGCTGGCAGTTGACAGTATTTGTTATTTTAGTGTAAAACAGGGATTGTGTGATAAAAGTTGCATTAATTGTTGTGCTAAATGTGTTTATTCCATGCTGTCTTCCTTTTCATGTAGTTTGGTATGCCCTGTACTCCACTGGAATTGCTCTCCGTGGGGTAACTGGTACTTAAGATAGTGCACCTGGATGTCTTGTTAGCTTGTGTTACACTTGACTGCTCTTCTCTTTCATACTGTCTTTCCACAATTTTCCGGGACATGATATACTTGATTTTTTTCTGCTTCTTTGCTTTTTTTGTAGTTTCCTGTCCGGCTTCTTTTTCTTAACACATTTGTTAAATGTTGGTATGTCTTCAGGGCTCGTCTTAAACCTGTCATTTTAGTCCAGGTGAGTTTCCAAAGGCTGTCTCTTCTCACCTCCGTGCCTTCAGGTCGTCTCTGTGTCTCCAGCCCCAGTGACTGTCCTAGGCTCTAGACTGGTCTGTCCAGTGGTTTCCTGGACACTTCACCCAGATGTTTCCTCAAATGCAGAGTTCAGAACCGAACACCTTAGATTTCCGCTAACCCTACCCAGCTTCTCTAGGCTCTCTGTCTCAGTAAATGGCACTACTATCCAAGCAGTTGTCCACGCCTGCATCCTTGGTGTTATTTTCAGTTCTTTGTTTTCTTTACCCTTCATGATGCCAGTTACTGTTCTGCTTCCCAAATACACTGGGGAAGGCCATCCACATGTAACTGTCCTCAGTATTCCTATCCTTACCAAACCAGCTTTTTAGCTTCTATTACATATAACCTTCTTGCTGGAGTTTGGTTTTTTTCTGGCTTGTGCTCTACACAGCAGTGGAAAGGGCCCGCTTAAAGTTTGAATCCCCTCATGAAAACCTTGATAAAGACCTCCATGGCTTCACACACCTCCTACTTCAGATAGATTTCAAACTCTTTAACAAATGTTGCAAAGCTCTTTGGATTCCACTCCCCCCTTACCTATTTAGGCTCATCTCTGTCTTTTTATCTGGGGACACTAAAGTCTAAAGCAGCTTTGCATTTTCACATCATTTTGTGCCTCAGATATGTGTGCTTGTACTTCTCTACCTTCCTTCTTTGGAATCTTACATGCTGTTGCCTCTGCCTGCACCACCTTGCTGGTTAATTCCTTCTCAGCCTTCTGGTCTCAGTTTATGAGCACTGTCCCTCAGATGCCCAGCCTGGAATCTGTAGGCTAAGTTCTATCTCATGTTCAGGAACACATAGTCACACGTTAGCTAAATGGGTCTCATGCTCTGCCATCTTGTATGCTTTTATCTTGGTCTCTGCTTTTCTTCTCTCTGGTGCTTGAATCATGTATTGTCATATTCACATCGTTGACAAGGTTAATAGTTTTGTGTTCTTATTTATGTAGTTTCAAAGTGAACTTGGTTTTTTCTCTTTAGTGTCTCAATGAAATCCTGGAGTCAGCAGATGCACCTTTAGAAGTCACTGAAGGCTTCATTCAGTCAATTTCTCTGTCAGTTCCGTGGGGCTCTTTGCTGCAGGACAATTGTGCACTGGAAGTGAAAGGGTTAGAAATGGTCTTTCGGCCTAGACCTCGCCTAGGTAAGTGTTATGCTTCTGTTTCATTTGCTTCTGTTTTTACCCTTCAGAGATCGAGAAAGTAACCTAACTGCATTAAACTCAGTATTTATTACTTTGCATTGTATTTGTGTATACAAGATGTGTGTGATTATATCTTTAGAGTTGATTTTTTTCTGCTTCTGTTTTTACTCTGTTTACTCACAGGAACTTTCTTTCTCTGTTTACTTTCTCTGTTTACTCACAGGAACTTCATTATACAGATATTTTGGTTTATGTGATTATTTGTTACCAAAAAAGGACTTTTTTCCTCCTGGTTCTAGGGATTGAACCCAAGACTTTACACGTTAGGCAACCACTCTACCACTGAGCTACACCCCAGCCCTTTTTAAATTTTATTTTGAGACAAGGTTGTGCTAAGTTGCAAAAAGTTGGCCTGAAATGTATGATCCTTCTGCCTCAGCCTTTTGCATAGTTGGGGTTATAGCCATGCACTACTGTGCCTGGATAAAGTGATTTGTAATTTGAAAATTCAAAATATTGTGTCCAAAACAAGGAATAGTTCTCAAAGATTGATGAGAAATATTGAAAGGACACAGATTGAACTTGAAGGAACTTCGGTTGACCACATCTTGGAAACTGGAGTGTTAAAAAAGATTAATGGCAATAATGGATTATAATACACTAAAAAACTCCCTCGTAAGTTCATACTGACATAAATAAATAATCATGTAAAGTGGGCAGGAAGAAGAGAATGTTCTTTTTAGCCAAGAAAGGTAACATTTTATGTTACATACAAAAAGGGTGCAGATTGAGTCCTGTCCTCCCCAAAGAGACCACATTTGTGTTTTCCTTGGTGCCCTAGGAAATGGGCTACACTGAGATAGCATCAGGACCCATTTCCATTTTCTCCAAAGAAGGCTACTTCCTCTGTGGAGGAGTTTGCCCATATGGTATGCAAATCTCTTGCCTGGAGGAATCACTTTAAATACACTTGAAATGGACATTCATATTTAAAAATACTACAAGTTACATTTTACAGGTAAGCTTTGTGACCAGTGCTGGGGTTTATGAAATATTACGTATCTTTAAAAAAAGGCATTTAATAATCAAACACAACCACACATCAATTAAAACTGATTTCCACAACTGATTTATACATGATCTAGTTGTAAAAAATTGCAGTACATCCCAACATTTTTTTAAGAGTACAATGAGCAAAGATTAAAGAAGCACATAAAGAATAATGTAATAAATTAGAGGACATGACATACCCAGCGGGAATTGCTAATCAACATTGCTTTCCATTGAGGGGATTTGTAGTATTTTTGGTTTCACCTCTTTCTTTTGTTGTTATTCTCTTTCCTTGAAGGGGGCTCATTCCAAGAGCCAGCTTGCTCTGATGCTAATTTGAGCTCACTTGTCACTGTGACAAATAAAACCCAGGAACTCTTGGTTCCTCACAGGCTAGCAAGAGTTTCTGTCAGAGTAAAAGGTACAGAGGAGAGCGCGCGCGCGCGCACACACACACATTTGTACACCTGTAAATGTATTTCCCCGAAAGAAATGATTCATTTTTCCTGAGACATGCCTGAAAGATAAATAAGCCTTAAAAACGTTTTGGTGCAGGGCTGGCCTGGGAGCTCACGAAGAGGAGCACTGAAGATGTCACACCTACCCTGAAAGAGGGACTTTGGGGGGGCAGTTATGACAGCAGCCCTCTTATGCCTAAAGTCACAGGATGACTGCACTGCTTCCCCACTTATATCGTGGATAATCCTCTGCTCTGAGACCTTCAAGGGGTCATGGCACCAGAAAAGTTATTTTGAGTAAAAGAGAAAAAAGAAATTCTGTCTACCCAATTGAGGTTTCTTTGTAACATCAATCTAGTAATTAAACTAGAAATTTATGGAGTACAGTGCTCACTTTTTCTTTTGTAGGCTGATCTACAAATGCTGGAGTGGGTTTCCAGGTTCATTTTGAGAAAAATATGTCAACTACTATACTACTGTCTATATTCAGGGACCTGTGTACTATTGTGAATACAATGAAAAACAATGCAATTCTTTTGCACTTAGTCACATGTGAGAGGGAGAATGTTCTTCTTTATAGTTGAATACCTACTTGTAGAATGTAGAAAAAAATGGATAGAACAAGATAGGATTAATAAGTCTAGGTAAAGGGTATATAGGTATACAATAATAAAATTTTAATAATCTGATATTAATGTACAAGAATATCTGTCATTTCATTGTGATAGGTAGATATAATACTTCCCAATGGAAAGTAAAACTTTAAAAGTATTTTTCCCATGGAAAATATTTCATTAAATGGGCTTTAAAATTCCATTTTGGAAAGCAATAATTCTAGTGATCTCCATCAGTTTGCTTTGAATATTGTAAGGGTGTGCAGTGGAATTTTCTCTGGGTGGGTGATCTGAAAAGGATTTTTCACAGCTCATGTGTTTCCTCCTCCAGGGATGCTGTTCTATTTTGTACATTCATATTGATTTCCAAAGCGTGTGTTATCTGCTACCTCTGCCAGATTTCCTGTTAATTCACTCAGCTAGAAGAATTAGCTCTTACAGCTGTACAAGAGCTAGCCTCTTAGCTTTACAATGCTTTCTGTTACCATGTAATAGTTGCCTATTTAATTCTTCTTAGCTGTATTTTACTTCTGTTGTACTGTAAGCTGTGAGTGCAGAAATATTTCATTTATTTTTTCTATTTTTTGAAGCAGAGCTCTAACCTATGGCTTGTAGATGAAATCAGGCCTGTCACCTGTTTTTATAAATAAAAATTTATTGAAAGGTAGCCATGCTTATTGGCTTTCTTCTCTACGGCTACTTTTGTACTTTCATGGAAGAGTTGAATCAGTGTGATACAGAACGTATTGTCCAGAAAGTCTAAAATATTTACTATCTGATCCTCTACAGAAAATATTTATTGACCCTCTACTGTATAGAATTTAGAATAGTACTGTGTATCTAAAAATACATATTAAATTCTTAGTGAATATATGAATTAATATTTGATCAAAAAAATACACAGTGAGAGCAGATGTCTCTGGAATTTTTTTCTGGAATCTTTTTTTTTTTTTTAGTTGTTAGTAACACAATATTTCAATCTTGAGTAATTTCTAGAATATTGCTTCTCTTGGTAGTACCATAATGTTACCAAACTATTTGAAATGTGTTATTTTTAGAAATAATATTTTAATTTGAGAAATTATTAGGATTACTCTCTATTTTCTGCAGCAACTGGTTCTGAGCCCATGTATTGGTCAAGTTTCATGACCAGCAGTATGCAATTGGCAAAAGAATGTCTTAGCCAGAAACTGACAGATGAGCAAGGAGAAGGATCTCAGCCTTTTGAAGGCCTGGAAAAGTTTGCTGAAACCATTGAAACAGGTTTGTTGTTATTGAGCATTTTCAAAAGTTATCATTTTATTTAGTAACTTAGTGTCTTTAATAAGGCCTGTGTAAAGCAGCTAACTCTGTTCTGATTTTAAAAGAATTACTGTTCTCATTTCAGAACTTTAGAATTGAGATTATTTTAAATATTGTATTCAGGTGAACTGAATGCTCCTTTTTTGGAGTCTTTCCTTGTTTAATTTATTATGCTTTTAGAGTGACAGGATTAGAGTCCAGCAGACGGTGTTAGTCATTGTCTTGTCTGTTGAGATCTAACTTGGGTAAGTGCTCAGTAAGGTGTGATACTGAACACAAAGCTCAGGATTTGGCGATTGTAAAGGAAAGAAATCTAATTTATTTTTAAAAAGATCTTAAAAATTAGTATTTCTTTTATTAAAAGTTTTAATTTAGTACAATCTGATTCTCCCATTGATGATTACTTGTTTACTCTAGTACTAAGAAGAGTAAAAGTCACTTTTATAGACACAGTTTTGAGAATCGAACATGTGCCAGAGAACTCTAAAACTGGAACTGCACTTGAAATTCGAATAGAGAGGTAAGACTTTTTATATCTGAAAATAGATAGCCCTATTGTTACTCTCACATTAAATTTTAGGATGCTGGGCTGGGGATCTGCAAAATCCTGAGACCTATCCCCAGCACTGGAAAAAAAAGTTTACAATGCTTTTGGAGACTAGAGGTATTGATATTAAATTAAAATATTGCATAATTTCAGAGTAAAATGCTATTCCCCAAGTTATGCTTTAATCTCATTACTGAAAACTTAAAGTACCATTTGGGCTATAATTATATATAATACTATGTTGAATTCACAATAGTTAATAGCAAATCAAAATAATATTGAATGCTACTAAATTTAAGTCACTCTAGAGATTGGGGGTTTTCTTCATGTGAACAATGAAATGAATCTAGGTATGTTTCATTAATATAACTTTTTTACCTTGCTGTACTTAATCTGAATGCTGTTTTAGTGAGAAAGAGTGAGGGCAGTTTCTTTGGAGGATTCTGTGAGGATTTGGAGGTTAGTATGTGAAATAGTGATTAAATGATATAAACATACTGCTTTTAACTTTTTCTTATACTCATTGGATTCATATAAATAGCTCTAAAGTGGAGATTCATTTTCATAGAGACACCTGAGTGTTGGTCTCAGGTAACTTTCCTCGTGTCAGTGCTTTATGAGCCGCCAACAGAAACGGCAGGATGACTGTGTACTGAGCACCAGAGACACCTCGTACCTCTTGGAGTAATCTTTACCAAGATATGTTACGGTTTCTGTCTTTCACAGAACACTTATTAGTAAAACAGTTACTGTAACAGATCTGTAAAATTAGGAATGACTATCTTAGTTGATATAGTAAAACAGTATCTAACATCTTAAGCATTTAGAACCACTTTTTTTTTTTTTTTTAAGATAGGGTCTTGCTTTTTAATTCAGCCTGGCCTTAATTTTTTTTTTTTTTTTTTTAAGATAGGGTCTTGCTTTTTAATTCAGCCTGGCCTTAAACTCACTGTGTAGCCAAGGCTAGCCTCCTCCAACTTGAGGCAATCCTCTTGCCTCAGCCTCCTGAGTTATTACAGCCTCCCTGTAATCCTTCTGGGATTACAGACTTGTGCCACCACATCTAGCCCTAGAGCCACATTCCTTGTCTTGTTTAAACTGGATATTAGTCACACAAGAATTCAAAAATGTCATTTCTTGTCAGACTTGTGACTTGGAGCTAAGTGCTGTCTTACTGTTAGCAAGAGATGTTTGTTTAGGGCATGTAGCAGTTGTTTTTCTTGAAGGTAACTTTAGGAAGTTACTAATTTTCCCCACCTCCAATTTAAGAGACTCATAAAACTTACTTTTCTTGGAGTTAAGGTCTCTTTCTGAAATACTTACTTGAAGCACAGTGACCTACATTATGAGCATTATTGTTATAGGCATTTTCTAAGGAGAAGTAATACCTGAAAAATCTCTTTAACAGGTCTTCATCTTTCATTATGGTAAATAAGTTTTCCGGGGAGTTTTGTACAAATGCATTATTTGCTTTTAACTTTTAGAACTGTATACTGTGATGAAACTGCTGATGACTCCTCAGGAATTAATGTACATCAACCCACAGCTTTTGCTCACAAATTACTTCAGCTCTCTGGAGTGTCTCTCTTCTGGGATGAGTTTTCTGCATCAGCAAAATCTTCCCCAGTGTGTTCAACTGCACCAGTGGTAAGGAAAAACACCCAAAACATAATTACAGATTGTTAGTTAGAAGGCTAAATTTGAATGAGGGCTGTGAAATTTTGCTAGGATATACAATATAGGTTAATGACTATCTGGTTTCAGAATCAACAGAAATACTCAGGGATGGCGATATGTATTTCAGAGATTCTGAAACATTCAGAATTCATACCTTTCCCACCAGTTTGCTGGAGGAACATTGGATGTGATGTGCTGGGGCAAAGTGGTGTATTAACATCTAATACCCTTTTACAGTAATTTCAGGAAATTAAGCAGTGTTCAGAATCACCTTCATAATGAATGTGTTGCTGAAAACGTACCTTACAAATCATAACTTAAAAAAAAATACTTTATAATTATGGAACTCTGTTAATTTTTTCGAGGAGCACAGAAGCCTTTGGCCCATCAGTCATTCTATAATTTACCTTTTACAGTAGTTCATAAATCAGGTGTTCCTGGTTATACAGAGTCTGTTAGTTTTTCTTATTGCTACAACTTGGAGAGATACTGTGTTTATTTCATAAAGTTCTTTTCCATGATTTCTTTACATTCCCAAGGTACTATGCTAACCATCCTATGTTTCATTTTAGCTACAAGGTACTGGTTTATCCATTGTAACAATACAATTTGTCCTGTCAAATATTTTATTCTTAAGTTGACATTTATGTTTTGTATTTCAGTATATTTCCACTAAAGTATTCTAAATAGTTACTTTATTTTCTTTCATTATTGTAGGAAACTGAGCCAAAGCTGTCACCTAGCTGGAACCCCAAGATTGTTTATGAGCCACATCCACAACTGACTAGAAATTTACCAGAGATAGCACCCTCAGACCCAGTGCAGATTGGAGGGCTAATTGGTAGGTTGGGATTGAGTCTCACGTTGAAACAGAATGAAGTACTTCCTGGAGCTAAGGTCAGTGTTCGTTTTATTTTCTCAAATAAAACTATGAATATTCTTTAGTCAGTACAGCTTCCTACTGTTTGATTACTGTAGGTTCTCCTTAACTGAGTATCTGCTGTCTCCAGGCCAGCATTTTACTTTCGGTTGGTGCAAATGTCTTAAGTCGCAGTATTCTAGGGAGGACTGCCTTCGCCCTATGCGGCAAGTCAGGTTTTATGAAGGGCTGCCTTCTATATAGTCCACAACCAGACACAAACAAAACCCCAAAACAACAAAAAAAGAAAACCGCTTTTTGTAGTAAACATAGTTAAGATGACTAGGAATTCATTACAGTCTCTTTCTGTCATCGTAAAATTAAGTTTAAAGGGGAAAGAGGTTTGGAAAGTGATATCAACTATAGTAGATACTTACTTAATTATATATGTATTTTTATAGTTGTATAATGTTTATAAAAAGAGATTGACCTTTCTAATGTGCCTATGGCTTTTTGAAGCCATTGTTTCGAGATGGTTGTACTTGTTTTCTAGCAAATATTGATCATTACCATTAGAGAATCAAGAGTTTCACAATTATTTAATCACTTAAAAATGTATTTGTTGCTGGGTGTGCTAGCACATGCTTGTAATCCCAGCACTTCAGAGGATGAGGGAGGAGGATCGCCATGGTTTGAGGCTACCCTGGGCTACATAAGCCAGGTCACGACCAGCCTGTACTACATAGTGAAACCCTATCTCAAAAGAAACAAACAAAACAACGAACAAAAAAAAAAATGTGTTTATCACACTTTATTTTCTTACTTTGGTTTAAATTAAGAGGCTGTTAGGATGTATTCATTTATATTACTGGTCCACCTATCTGTAGATATTTGAGTGACTGCTGAATGTCAGGCCCTGTGCAGGTTCTTGGAACAGATGCAGAGATGGGTGATATACCACCTTTGCCTTAATGAAAGATACACCAAGGAATATAGAAATTATTATGGGAGCATACAAAAGGGAGACACTAAATACTTGGAAATGTGTATAAAAAGACTTTCTGGTGAGTGGAGAATTCCCAGAGTTCCTTCCTTGGATTTGGGGTACTGGACTAGACTTGGAGGAGGAGGAAAGTGCTGAAGAGAATGAAAACATTCGTTCTACAGATTACTGCCCTCCTCTTTACTGCTCTGTCCCACTTCAGATGATGTGGAATCCTTTCATGAGGTCTTCAGCCACTTCGTGAAATAGCACAGAGGGTGGTTAGAGGAGCAGGTAGCCATGGTATGTGTAAACTACACAGGGAGTCCTCTGCTGTGGCAACCTCTTTGGAAAACCATCATATCTGTGTCTTCGGGGACTGCATCTGCTTAAGAAGGAAGAACTGCAGCAATAACTTTCATAGTTCTGTTTTGACTAATTATATGAAGTATTCAACATTTACACTTGATCTTAGACTAAAGGCTGAGAAGCGATAGTCTTCAACATTTGTATGTTTTTGATCTTTATGCAAAACCAGAGTTTTGCAAATCCTGTATTGATTTTATTAGTGCTCTTTATATTGTAGTTTTAGAGTTTTACATATTAAGTGATAAATGAACATTTGGAAATTTTGCATGGTGACATTGTATGCCAGGCAGGATTTAATATTTAATGGTAGTGTTATCCTTGCCTATACAGTAATTTTTATGTAGTCACTTGAGTATTTGTGATTTGCTTTTATTTGATGAAAATAAGTGCTAATATAATGAAAATATTATAATGAAAGATGTGGCTATAGTGAAAATAAAAGTTCTATAGATTAACGTTGAGGAAATATAGATCTTCTAACCTTAATACCGTGTTGACAAAGGTGGTATTCTTGGGACACCCAAAGTGTTAGGGCTTTAATTTGTTTTTACTCCTAATTAAACTTAAGTCTTTCAGCTGTGAGTTCAAAAATGTTATGAAAGATTTCATGGTTTTTGCTTTTTTTTTTTAATTCTGAGATTAGTACTCTGTTGAGTAGTGTATAAGTCTGGTAGTTCATGTTCAATTTTGGCATATGCTTTTGGTATGCATTATACAGTATGTAAAAGTAGGGGACTGTCGGGATTGAATTTAAAGACTTTCATTACCATGTTACACTGAGCTGAAAATTTTTTTAGTTGTTATTTTCTGTCTTTCATATTTCTGAAAGAAAGAAATACGAACTTTGATCTATATATACCAAATTCATAATGTACTAATAATGAAATATTACTTAAAAAATTCAGAATGAGACTCTTGATCATTATAATGAAGATCAGAGATTGTATTCCCAGTACCAAGAAAAAAATTGGCATATAATCAAAACATTTTCCCTCTCTCCTTAGCTTTAATTCAGGACATGGCCTGGGATGTCAGCAGTCAATAAAGAACCCCTAAAAATACTAAAAAAATGATAGTAATGATTATTGTTATTAAATAGTGTGTTGTACTCTTACTGAGATCATAAAAATATCAGGGTCACTGTGTAGTTTATTTATTATTGTTTTTAGAATCAGAAGAAATTTATTTTTCTCAGGGGTGAGAAGCCACTTTCCTAATATAAATATGTTTTATTAGTTCAGTTATTTATCAAATGGCATAAGGATAATGATAGAAGTTATTTTAGCATGTTAGAAGTAAAAGGAGGTGAATGAAAAGTGAGACAGGACATGAATCTTTGTAGAAGGTAGTGTTGGAAGTCGAGTGATCGCTCTTGTCAGAGTGTATTGCACAGGAATCAGGAAGAGGGTATGATTGAACTTACATTTCTAGAAGGAAACGTGTGTGGGCAGTTGGCAGTGATAAAGGAAGTCCACCAAAATACTCTCTTCTCACCTTATTTATGCTGTGGCTGCTACTCTCACAGCCCAGAGAGCACAGACTTAGTGGAACACAGTAGGCACCCGAGAGGGGGAGTGTTGGCAGTGTGACCCTTGGGCAGGCTTATGAAAGCCAACTTTATGTGCTCTTGGTTCAAATTGAGCTTTAAGGACCATGACTTGAGTCTTCTTAAGGTCTTACTGTATTACTGTTCCCTTAGTATTCTTTCTTAAGACTATGTCTTAAGGCCTTCTCAAATACTAAATACTCAGAAGACAGAGAGATAAAATGTGTGGCATTGTGGGCTGGGGGTGTAGCCGAGCGGCACAAGTGCCTGCCTGGCAAGCACAATGTCCTGAGTTTGATTTCTGGTACCAAAAAAAACAAAAAACAAAAAACAAAAACCTGACATTGGATTTGCTGACATGGGGTTCCTCAGATTTTCCCTTTTAGTTCAGTGCCCTTTAAGGCTTTTCACTTAGATTGCATGAATCAGGGTCTTAGGCAAAGTAATCTAAGGTAAAGGTAAGTATTTATCTCAGTGCCTTAAAATATGAGATGAGCCTTTAAAAGGTATTCATTGTGATTTTTTTTTTTTTTTTTAAGTTGGATGTTGATGGACAGATCGACTCTATTCATCTATTCCTGTCTCCCAGGCAGGTACACTTGCTTTTGGATATGTTAGCAGCTATTGCTGGACCAGGCAAGTATAACTCTAGTATTATTTTTAATTCTTTGAAACTTTAAAATATATAACATTCATATAGGAAAGTATATTTTTGAATATGTAAAATTAAAGATGTATTGTAAATAAGAATCCTAAATAGTTCATTGGATTGGGGCTTTTGAATTGTGTCATGGCACAAATTTGCATTCAGATTATTTGTGTTACATTCTTAACTCTTTCAAAATTGTTCTGATTTATTTCTTTGGTTGGGGATAGTACTTTATACAACTGAGAAAATATAATTTTCAAACCTATTAAGTAGCACACATTAAAATATTTTTAATGACTACTGCCTATCACAGAGGTAAGGTTTTTGATTACTGGCCACTGATGAATACTGAATAGATGCAGTTTTGCACTGTTTGTGGTATTCAGTTGCCATTAGTATTGCGTAAATGGGTGTCGGGAGAGAAATACTTAAGTTACTCCAAATTTAATTATTGTCTTGCTTTCCTTTTGTATACTTGTAGAAAATTCTAGCAAAATAGGGTTAGCTAATAAAGATAGGAAAAACCGACCTATGCAACAGGAAGACGAGTATCGAATTCAGATGGAATTAAACCGGTATTATTTGAGAAAAGATTCCCTGTCTGTGGGTGTATCTTCAGAGCAAAGCTTTTATGAGACAGAAACGGCTCGTACACCTTCTAGCCGTGGTAAGCACCTTGGTTGACACCAGAGTCACACCTTATCATGATAGGTAAAAGTAAACTTAATAAGCAATAAAAGGACAAAAGGCCTATGATATGAGAGTTTTAGTTTATGACCTAACTACAGGATTATAGTGATGCACCAGCATGTAGTTGCTATGGTTATCTTTTTTTTTATTTTGTCTTTTTGAGCGAGGGTCTCACTATGTAGTTCAGGCTGGCCTTGAGCTCACTTTGTAGCCCAGGCTGGCCTCGAACTCACAATGATCTTCCTACCTTGGCCTCCCAAGGGCTGGGATTACAGGCGTGCACCTCCATGTCCAGCTGGCTATCTTTTTTTGATTGTATAATTTTGTCTTATAAATTATTTTCCTAGGAAAAGTCCATTTATGAGATGTAGATTTACACAAAAGATAAATTGAGAGTAATTATTTTGTCAAATTATGTGTTCACCTAATGGTGTACAGTAGGTTCTTTAAATAGGAAACATTTCTTTATTAATCTCTCCATCAGTTATATGTAAATGTAATTGTTTCCATGCTTATTTTACATTTACAGTTGTTACTAAATGTTTAAGCACTGATAACATAAATAATATGAATCAATTTAAGTATGGAATGTTGAACCAAATAAAAAATTAAAACACGCATTTTTGGCCTTAACAAACTTCATTTGCATGAGGGTAAAACAGTTTCCAAAAGAAAGAACTGAAATATAAATAGAATTCTAAGTAATGAATTTGGTTTTCTTTTTTTAAAAGGAGGTAGTGCTATCCACATGAAGCCAGAGATGGCGAAATATTTGTTCTTTCTATCAGTCAATCTGTCTATTTGCATTTGTGTATTTGTGAGGGCTTGAGATTGTACCCAGGGCCTTGTGCATACTAATACCACTTTAAAATCTGAATTTTGATTTCTAAATTGTCATATGACACTTAAAATGTGCCTGGGAATAACTGAGTATAATATATTTTTAAAAAACAACAAAATATTCATTAGGAAGAGAGCTTAACCATATTACTTATATTCATTCAGCTGAGTTTTTACTATGCCATTAATATCCTGGGTTCAAATAAGTTGTCCCATTGGAAGTAGCATACAGTTTGGTTTACCACTATATCTCAGTAATCTGAAGGAAGAAAACTATATTAATGCATATTAGCCTACTCTGAAGACTTGAATCTGTGAAATTATAACATCAGTGATGACATGTAATTTTCTCCAGAAGAAGAAGTTTTCTTCTCCATGGCGGATATGGATATGTCGCATAGTCTCTCTTCTCTTCCACCCCTTGGGGATCCCCCAAATATGGACCTGGAGTTATCATTAACTAGTACATACACAAGTACCCCAGCAGGATCCCCATTAAGTGCTACTGTGGTAAAGTATTATTTAATATTTTTTTTATTCTTGAAAAATTGCTGCTGAAGTTCCGTACTTTATTCATGTCCTCTAAAAAATCTTTTCCAAGCTTCAGCCAACTTGGGGAGAGTTCCTTGATCATCATAAAGAGCAGCCAGTGCGAGGGCCAGCCTTTCCGCCCAACCTAGTTCACCCGGTGTCTTTGCAGAAGACAGGTAAGCACAGGAAAGATGCTCCTTGTTAGTTTCTGCTGGACTTTTTGAAAATTTAAAAATTAAAACAATTGTTTCTTTTAAAAAACCTGTCTGCCTTCTTTTGTTTTTATTTTCTTTTTTTTCCTAAATAAATGTCAGTTTTCTTTATTTTTACTTCGATGCTGGAGGTTAAATGTAGGGCTAAACATGTAAACTCTGTACCCTGGCTTTTTTTGTTGTTTGTTTTGTCTCTCATAAACTTTCTTGCAGTCTGGGGCATTGAGCAAAGTTTAGAAGGTAAATGAAGAATTGTTAAACAATTCACAGTGAAGTATTTTAGAATAATTGCTCAAATTTTTGTGTATTCAGATATTGTGATATTGTTAGTGAAAAAGTAAACTTAACCAGTTTCTTCTTTTCACTATTTTCGCAGTTTAGGAGTCTTCATAAGCCAACTGATCTCCCTCCTTTTCTCCCTTCCTTTCTTTTGTTGCTGATGATCTAACCCATGACTTTGCACATGCCAGGCACACACACTCTACTACTAAGCTGTTCCAGAACCCTTCAACCCCATGCCTTTTTGTTTGTGTTTATTTTTTCACTGTTTATATATTCCTTAAAAGGGAACCTTATATTTCTATGCTGTATTTGGAGTTTTTTGGGGGGCAGTGGTGAGAATGGAGCCCAGGGCCTCATGCATGCTAGGCAAGCACTGTACACCTAAGTTACACAGCCCTTACTCTGAAGATTTTAATTGAAATAAACACCAGGCTTAAAGAAAATTCGGTGCACAGTTTTTGTTTAATCTTTATTTCCCAATGTAGTTTTATCAATGCAAAAGCTTTGTTCATATATTACAGTTGTAATACACTTTTTTGTTATGTTGGAATTGGAGATTGTACCCAGGGCCATTGCACTGAGCTACATTCCCAGCCCTTTTTATACTTTATTTTGAGACAAGGTCTTGCTAAATTGTCCAGGTGGGACTTGATCCTGCAATCCTCCCACCTCCCAAAGTGCTGGGATTACAGGCATGCTCCATAATGCCAGATTGTAATGTACTCTTTTGTACTTGAAGTATCAAAGATAACAGTTCATTTTACCTTAATTGTTTAATACCATTTTAATTGTGTGATCAGCTATTTTTAAAAGTTAATACATGAGTAAATGTTTTATAATTTTGGTACACTAATTATCTTTAAGTGTCAAACTTACATGTATAACTTGAACACATGTATTTCAGCTCTCCCATCTAGATCCGTTTCAGTGGATGAATCCAGGCCTGAGCTTATTTTTAGACTAGCTATTGGAACTTTTTCAGTCTCTGTACTTCACATTGATCCTTTATCTCCACCTGAGACGTCATTGAACCTCAATCCATTGACACCGATGGCTGTAGCTTTCTTTACTTGTATAGAAAAGGTTGATCCAGCAAGATTTTCAGCAGAAGATTTTAAGTCTTTCCGAGCAGTATTTGCGGAAGCTTGCTCACACGATCACCTTAGGTAAACTCCTTTATGTTCCTTAATATCCTCAAGAAAGAGCCAGATGTGGACGTTTGCCTCCATCTGTCTGCCTGTGTGCACTTTTAGTTGTTTTTTTTTTCTTTTTTCTGGCACTGGGAGTTGAACTCAGGGCCTTGCACTTGCCAGGCAGGCGCTTGTGCTGCTGAGCTATATCCCTGGCCCTTGTGTGCATGTTTATAATTCATGTTTGGTTGATAAATGAGTGGAATATTCTTGCAGTGCTACAGAGATATGTATATACCAGTGCTCTCATGCAGGTTGTGCAGAACAATACAGATAACAAGTCTTTCTAATCTAAAGTTTTGCTAAATTATATCTGTAGCTCCTTGCCCCGGTTTTGCCAAGTTTCTTTGAGTATTTTGCTCTCATCCCATTGCCACTATTACAGTCATGAAAATGCTCTTATTGTTGACATTAGCAGGAACAATGGTGGTGAGAGCAGAACTCACGAGAAGGGACTTGGAAGTGATCCACTGACTGCTGGCTGAAGGGTGGGACGCAGCACTAAGGCTGATCCTGAGCTTGGTTCAAAGAATACAGAAAGCTGTCCAAATTGCCAGTGATCCATTATGAGTTGAGTCCTAATAGTTGAGTTTGTAGGTGTGGTATCAATAACGTGCAGACTACTTCTACTGTAAATTGTTGTGTGATGGTTTAAACACATTGACTTTTTAGAAAATACCTGGGGGTTTTCTTTTAGCATAATATTTTTAAAGTATTAAAATTAATATGCAAAGAAGTTTTGATATCTACCAAAAGATACCCTGCAGATTATATTTATAATGAAGTTAGGAAGACATTTCCCCACCATTTTTGATAAGGTTTCAAATATCTACCAGTTGGAAAACATTACAGAAACCAGCTGGGCATGGTGGCACATGCCTATAATCCCACCGTCTTCGGAGGCTGAGGCAGGAAGATTGCTGTGAGTTTGTGGCCAGCCTTGGCTACACAGTGAGTTCAAGGCCAGCCTGGACTACATAGTGAAGCCCTGTCTTAAAAAAATAAAAAAAATTCAAATAAGGTGATTTTTCTTAGTTGAGCATGGTGGCACATGCCTGTAATCCCAGCATTCAGAAAGCTGAGGCAGGAGGATGGCTGTGTGTTCGAGGCCAGAGTGAAGTACATAATGAGAGACCCTGTCTCAAAACAACAACAATAAAATCCAAAGAATTAGAGGTAGACTTAATTTAGATTCCATCAGTTGAGGTTTTAACAGTATTGCATGATGTTTTAAGATAATTTTAAGAAACTATTTTTTGCATATTTTATAATTTGAAACATTTTATCTACTGAAATATAAATTTTTAAATGTATGTAGAAGAGAGAAGAACAATATTGGGAAATAAATATATCTTGAAAAAAATTTCCCAGCAATAGAACTAATTTGTCAGGGTGGAACTGCAAGCAGAAACACTGAAAATGACACCCAGGATTTGGAGGCAGATTTATTTCCATCAACGGGCACTGATTGGGATCATTCCCAGAATGTCAAGCCCTGATCTCTGGTGGCCAAGGGCTTTTATATGATCTGCAGGAAGTACAAAGGTGAGACAGAACAGTCTGGAGGTTCTTCTGATTAGCTAACTGGGTGAGATCATTGGTTACAAGGGTAGATTAATGACCATCAGTTCTTGAAACTTGGTATAATGGTACAAGCAGGCATCTTGTCTGTTCAGTTACTCTCTCGTGGTTACAGGGGTCAAGAAAGTAATCACAACAAAGCCATAAAGCAGTTACAGAGCCAGGCAGTTTCAAAAGAACAAACTTTAAAAGGAACAATATCTCTTGTACTGTTTTTCCCTTTGAAAGGAGTAGGAAAGTTGAAGCAGTCTTTCTGGTTACTATCCTTAGGAGTAAATTATATTGGTTATTGCTCACTTGAACTTGTCAAAATGAGTGATGACTCAGTATACATATTAATATTTGTATATTATTCTCTGACTAGGATGTATTGTTTAATCTAGAAGTAAATGGATACCCTTAAATGCTGACTGTTCTTTTTTTTTTTTTTTTGAATAAAGATTTATAGGTACTGGCATCAAAGTATCCTATGAACAAAGACAAAGATCTGCTTTAAGGTATTTTAGTACTGATGTATCCATTGGCCAAATGGAACTTTTAGAGTGTCTGTTTCCCACGGATTTTCATTCTGTTCCTCCTCACTATACAGAGGTAAATGCTGTTTAGTTCCTTTGTAATTATTCTTTAAATTTGCCTTTTTTATGAATTACGTGAACAGCAATGATTTTCTTAAAAAATGTATAGGAAGTCATAAGGGAGTATTATCATTTTTTGTCTTTGTTTTGTTGAAACATTTTAAAATATGGCATCCAAGACAATGGTAAATACGTTAACATTTTTAACTTAGGGTTGAGTTGTTGCAGAGTATCAATTATGAGAGGAATGCTTTCATTTTATTCATTTTTGAAATACTTCAGAAAAATTCTAGTATTGAATGCATACTGAATGCCTATTTTGTGCTAAGCAGTATTTAAGATAGGTGGAATATTTTATGTTTTCTGATTTTTTTTTTGCCTAATGTAAAAGTGTGACCTAGAGAAACTTCTTAAAACTGGCAAAATAACATTATTACTATTTCCATTTTATTTTTATAGTCCTTTCTTTCTTTTTATTTTTGAAGAAGGGTCTCACAGTGCAATTCAGATCAGGCTTGAACTCACTATGTAGCCCAGTCCGGCCTTGAACTCATGGCCGTCTTCCTGCCTCAGCCTTCTGAGTGCTGGAATTACAGGCATGCACAACCACACCTGACAAATAGTCCCTTCTTGGGCATTGGTTTATTTGAATCCTTATGTTCTGCAGCTGAGATACTGAGTGTCATAGAAGTTAACTAACTGGACTAAGATTTACATTGCTAGTAAGTGACTGGAAGGAAACTTAAAGCCAGTGGTTCTGACTTCAGAGTGTTCTTCCTTTCATTATGTTGGCACCTCTGTGAAGTCATGAGTCAGTTATAGCTTAATACCACATTTAATTTATCCCCATCTTTGTTTTTAAGCTTTTAACGTTCCATTCTAATGAAGGATCTGATGCTCACCCCCCTGTATGTCTTCAGCTTCATTATAAGCATTCGGAGAACAAAGGAACTCAAGTAAGAGATCTTTCTGTGTGATTACCACCTGTAAAATTTATTTGCCATTTTCTCACATTGTAAGTGTTGAATCTAATTTTGTTGTATGATTAGTGATATATTCATGCCTTTTTTTAAAAGGGTAATCAAGCAAGACTTACTTCAGTTCCTCAGAAGGCAGAATTACAAATTAAATTAAACCCAGTGTGTTGTGAGCTGGATATCAGTATTGTGGACAGGTTAAATTCCCTGCTTCAGCCACAGAAACTTACTACCGTAGAGATGATGGCCTCTCACATGTATACTTCATATAATAAGCACATTAGTCTGGTAAGTATTCAAAAATTGTAAATAATCACAATACGTGTAACTAAGTAATAAGCTTATTGAGATAATTTCTTAGCCAAGTTTGCTAAATAGATTAAATAGGATATATTAAAACAGCATTATTTGTAATGAAAAACAGATACTCTTATGTCTTGATAATAGGCTATTAAGTTTTGATAATATACTAATGCAATTTTATGCAGCCATTCTAAGATGATGGTTGTGAGGATGGTGTAGCAACTTAAAGAGGCTCATGAAGAAGTGAACTTGTGATCTTCTCTGAGCCTCTTGAGTGGCTGGGATTATAGGCGTGTGCACCTGTCTCAAATGTAATAAGAAAAAGAACTAGGAATGGAGCTCAGCAGTCTCTGAGTTCAATTCCCAGTACTGGGATGGTAGAGATATATTAAGTGAAAAAGTAGAATGTATTATTTCACATAAACTTTCTCTGAAGCTATATAAAGAAAGTTGATGTGTAAAAAAAAAGAATGAGTAGAAATATGGAAATTAGTAGCATTTGATTATGTGATAGTAGAATTAGATTTCTTTTTCTATTTATCCAAATTTTATAAACTATGATTATAACATCAATCAGCTTTTATCTATTAACACATTTAATGAACTTCTTCATTATTAACACATTGAATGAACCTCCTAAACCAGTAATGAGGAAGCTTTTAGAGATGAGTGCTCAGAATGAAACCCAAAATCCGTGTATTCATCACACAGTGTCAGTACTGCAATTAAACCTGAATACTGAGGTTTTACGTTAGAAAAAACAGTTCATACGTTCACATCTTTTGTCTTAAAAGAAAAACAACACATGTGCTCTAGGTTCACCACCAGTGGCCTAGACAATTTAGCCCTAAGAATAGAAGACGTACTTTTGACAATGGAAAAATAATATATAGAACATCACATTTTATCACTAGATATGTAAGATCTTTTCTAAGCAAAGCAAGTCAGGTTTGCAAGAAGTTGATAAGGAATTTTGGGGCTGGAATTTGGAGGTTATAGGCACCAGACCAGACATAGGCAACTTTAGTTAAAAAGACAAGGGAAGAGATACTTTGTTTTCCTACTTACTTGCTTTTCCCCTGTGACTAGTATTCATATCAAATCAATGTTCTTTAGCTCTTTCATTCTCACCGATTGCTAGTTATTTTAAGTTCTGTTGGCTAGTCTCTCTATTTGCTGTTAGCTATACATGGACTAGGTTGGTAGCTTAATTGCATGGATAGTTTTGCCTGAGAGTGGGGACTAGTACTTGAAAGTCAGTAGGAGAGTTGATAGAATAGGTTCGTTAAAAATATAAGTCTTACAGAGATGGGAACTTGCTTTTTTTGTTTTTGGTTTTTCTTGTTTGTTTGTTTTTTGAGACAATGTCTCACTGTGTTGTTGAGGCTGGGCTTGAATTCACTATGTGGTCGAGGCTAGCCTCAAACTTGCAGCCTTCTGAGTGCTTGGATGACAGGTGTGCACCACCACACCTAGCCAGGAGCGTTCTAGTTGAGAGGTTAATAGACTGATTCAAGAAATGGAGGCATGGTGCCATCTACTATGGACCAAAGCTTTATTAGTTTGAATACATTCTAGAGAAAAATGAGAAATTGACTTTTATTTGATGACATGTCCTTTGAACCTTTTATTATAATAGTTAGGGTACACGGTATATACATTTTGTTTTCCAAGAGCCGTTTGATGGGGTCGTACTCCTAGATTGGACAGGAGCTCAGAGTGAATCACTTAGTAAATATTTACTTAGAATCTAGGCTGTACCAAAGCTCTGGACTTAGTCCTGGAAATAAGAAGGCAAATCACAGACTGGTCTTTGTTTTTGACATAATTATCTGAGTTTGCATTAAGTCTTTAAAGTAGCTATTGGTAGGTAAATCTCACATTGAATATTGGATATATAGTGATTTTTACTGAGGGCCAGGGATATTAGCTCATTGGCACAGCACCTGCCTGACAAGTGCAAGGTCCTGAGTTTGATTCCTGGTACAAAAAAAAAAAAGATTTACTGAAAGGCTAATTTATAATTTTTTTGTGTTTGGTTCAGCTTTTATTTTGATCTATGTATTCTTCTATCAGTTTAACTATTGCCATTAGTTCTTTTACCAATGGTGTTGCATTATAAGATTTTATTATACTAAATTAATGTGGTAGCAGTCAATTTGATTTGTATTTTAATCCTCTATACTGAATGGAGAAATAACAATTGTATATATTGTGATGTTGTATAGTAATGTCATTTCTGTTGATTTACTTGATTTAATATTTTGGCATTTTTTGATGTTTTGTATTGTAGCACAAGGCTTTCACTGAAGTGTTTCTAGATGATTCACATAACCCTGCACATTGTCGGGTATCGGTACAAGTTGCCACCCCAGCATTAAACCTTTCTGTTCGCTTCCCAATACCTGATCTTCGGTCAGATCAAGAAAGAGGGCCGTGGTTTAAGAAGTCACTTCAGAAGGAGACCCTTCATTTAACACTCTCAGATTTGGAATTGAAGACCGAATTTATAGGAGGATCAACCCCAGAGCAAATTAAATTGGAACTTACATTTAGAGAACTATCTGGTAAGATTGAAAGTGTTTGTGAAGGAACCGTAGTAGATACAAATAACTGTTACTAAAGCTCATACCATAAGATGTGTGACAGCCCCCAAAGAGAATAAAATTAAAATACATTATATTAGAAAATAGGAATAGCACTGTCCCCTATTGTATATATGTATATGACATATCAGTTATTTTTTTTAAATATTAGCAGGCATGGTAATTTAATCACTTTGTTAAAATATTTAGTTTCAACTGGGTACTATAGTGCTTTAGCCTGCTTTTTTATTATCACTTACCACTTATTGTGTAGGTTCATATTTGCCAGAATATGGGTGTTACTTTATGTTAGGTACTATGTGAAGCGCTTCACACATTATTTTATTTCCTTTAATCACCATAATATGCTTATTTTTTACAATTGTTTTTATAATTAGGTAGATGAAAGAAGCAGTGCGCTTAGATCACGTAGTAAACAAAGAACCAAGATTTCAACCTAGACTTGACCCCAGAGCTTGAGTTTTCAAACAAGTATACTAACTTTAGTGACTTTTCTTTGTAAAACCTATTTTAGGTTTTTCTATATTGCTTTGTTTTTGTCAGCTAGAATATACATAAACATAGAGGGAAGCGAGTCTGTAAGGAAAGCCAGACCTTTGATCCTGTAGCTCCTGTGCTGCTGTCCTGCCACGGCGCCCTCCCACAGCAGCCCCGGGCCCTCTCTTCTCAACCCCTGCCAAAGGTTCCCTTCCCTCTTCGCTCTCAAGTTTACATATTTTGGAAATAGATTGACATTTGCCAAATTAAAACTTCATGAAAGAGCCTTTTGGTTTTATCTGGTCATTCCTTATCTCCAGGGGCAAGAAGCTCCTTCTTTGGGAGGAAAGCCATTCTTTTCAATGGCAAAATTCAGTGAGAAAACAGGTAATGTGTAGATTTTGAATAGTGCTTGGTAAAAAAGACATGTTTAAGAAATATAGTTATCTTTATTTCTAGTGGTGGATTAACTATGTAAATTTCTCTCTTATGTAGAAATAATTATTAATACCACCCAGCAAGTGGTAACTTCCAAATGTATTATGTCCCGATTATGCCCCTTATACCTGAAACGTTAATACTTGTGAAGTTTAGCTTGAACACACGTCATGTGAAAGTGGGGCGAATGAATAGATGCTGTAGAACTTAGTGGTGCATTCTGTCCTTCAGAGAAGCTTTACCCTTCTACGAAGAAAAGTCTTTGAGCACTTGAGGAATGCAATCCAGTAAATCAGTCTTGTTTTATTAGGATCATTCCAGGAGGAGAAAGGAGAATCATCTCTTAAGTTTTTCCATGTGTCTAGTGGAGTAGATGGAAATATAGCATCATCAGATGACTTCGACTGGCCACGGTAAGCAGCTGAGTAGGTGTAATAGTCTCTTTTCAAAAATAAAATATGATAGTTCTTTTAACCAACATTTTGGGCATTAAGTTTACTTATTTATTTATTTAGGCATTAAATTTAAAGCTAAGAGTAATGAGGGAACCAAGAAGATGAACAAATAAAAAATACTGAGTACGGCTTTATCAAAGGTGTATATTAGGTAATGTAAGAGATAGAAGGAAGTGCAGGTGTGTTTTGTGGTATCAAGTTACCTGATCTAATTAGAAGGGTGAAAGACTCAACAGCCCCTGTAAAAATACTTCAGGGTTCCAGTAGGAGAGATACCATAAGCGAGGCACGATGTGAGCCCCTACAGTCTCCGCTACTCGGGAGGCTAAGGCACAAGGATTGCTTGAACCCAGGGTTCAAGGCCGGCCTGGCCAAGACAGTGATATCTGTGTCACAAAACAAAAACAAAGAATAAATAAAGTGATATCACAAGTCACCATTTGGGTGGTTGTCAAATGAATTTTATAATTAGTGGTTTTGGTTGGTGTTTTTCAGATCGGAGGAGCTTTTACAAAGTTTGAGCTCCAGCCTGAGATTCTGGCATAGTATATTTAAAAATTGTACCAGGTGATTCTAATATGCATTTGGACTTCGAGAACCCCTGCTCGAGGATTTCTTAGGCAGAAGTTATTCCTTAAATTACATTAGTGTGATAGTGGGCTTTGATGGTATTTAAAAGAACTTAATTTACTTGAAATAATAATAATCTTGTAATATTGAAAACATGAGTATTTGAAAGCTCTCTGCAAATTATCCTTTTGGATCATTTTCCTGCCTCCCTTCTTTTATGCCTCCTCCTGCTATGTATTAGCCTATCAGATTCTTAGGACAAGCACTATCAGTACTTGCTTGATGAGCATGAGTTTAGGGCATCAGTTTTTATCATAAGAATTAGATCTACTTCATATAAATGATTTAGAAGCACAGTTTCCATTAGCCTATCCATAAATTAGGAGACAGCTTATAATAGTATACTAGAAGCAGATGGTACCAACTTCTTAGGGAAAATATGTTGAGGTGTGAGAATACAGCCTGTTTGTTTGAGGGCTCTGTGCCTCCTCATCAGAATGGGTTGATATGGAGATAAAAAGGAGAATAAACAGCCTGCTAGTAATGTTCTGTAGAAGATGAGGAAGGGAATGAGGTGATACTCAAGCCAAAGCTCATTAACTTTTGTAGTCAAAGGCTACATTAGTGAAGTGATACTGTGGGGTTTGTAGCTACAAACAACAACGGTTGTATAGATATTTTATTTTTGAATTTCCTGGCTGAAAATCTAACTTCGTTGTTGAAGTTCTGAAACCATTCCCTAATCAATTTCTCCATTTCCCATTGGAGGCATTTTTGTAACATGAGGAGTCTTAGCTAGGCAGGTGTTCACTGTGGTAGAGCAGATTGCATATGAGAAGATTTGGTTCATTGATAACAACTTAGATTCTTAGGTAAAGTTTGCTGGCAGTTAATGAAAATTAAAAACAATGCCTTTGCCTTCAAAAGGTCACATTTTCAGTTAGCCAAGTATAAAGTGTTAGTGGTTTTTGTGTACTTGTTTTTCATAAGTGGATTAGTAAGCATAGATTTTCTAAAAATATCTACTTTTCATTAAGAGCTAATTAGTGGTCTCCTCATTAGTGCACACAAAAGCTAGTTTTGCTGTTTACACTTAGGTCTTGATTTCTTATTTACCTTTGCTGTCAGAATGGTACTGAAAATAAATCCACCGGCCGTGCATTCCATTTTGGAGAGAATAGCAGCAGAGGAGGAGGAAGAGAACGACGGTCACTACCAGGAAGAGGAGGAAGGGGGTGCTCATTCCCTGAAAGATGTCTGTGACCTACGGAGACCAGCACCATCTCCGTTTTCTTCACGAAGAGTAATGTTTGAAAATGAACAGGTAAAAGAAAAGTGTGAGGAAACAGTACAGATGTTTCTAAGTCTTTATTTATTCTTTTTGTGGTGCTTGGGATTGAATCTAGGAACTAGCGTGGCACTACATTCCCAGCCCTCTGTAAATGTTTTTGAGATAGGGTCTCACTGAGTTGCCCAGACTGGCCTCATCCTTCTGCCTCTTCCTCCTGAGTAACTCAGACTACAAGCATGTGACACCACACCTGGCTTGTTTTTATTTTTAAAAAATGTCTTTGTATAGTGTTTTTATTAGGTTTTTAATGCCAAGATTGATTTTACCTTTTTCTTTTTTTTTTTTTTTTTGGTTTTTCTCCGGTACCGGGAACCGAACTCACGACCTTGTGCTTGCCAGGCAGGCGCTTTGCCGCTGAGCTAAATCCCCAGCCCCCGATTTTACCTTTTTCTTGATGTGTATTGTTCCCAGGTGAATGCTAGGTGCTCATTTGTCTGCTCACGTATAAGTGCTATGGGTACATAAGAAGGTGCTACTATTTCAAACATAAAATTGTATTTGATGCCTTTTAAAAAATTATACTATTATGTTTTAGATGGTGATGCCAGGAGACTCTGTAGAAATGACAGAGTTTCAAGATAAAGCAATGAGCAACTCTCGCTATGTGCTGGAGCTTACGTTACCAAATATCCATATAACACTACCCAATAAAAGCTTTTATGAGAAGCTTTACAATAGGTGAGTTTAAACAGATAGAGTTGAATCTTTGGAATCAGATTTTCTACCTAACTGGCTCTGTGTTTCACCTCTTTACCTCTTTTTCCCAGTGCTTTTTAAATATTATCTGCCATCTGCATGTACTTTGTATACTGTTGATGATGACTGTGGAACTGTCACCATTATGATATGCTTTGTCTTAGCAGTTTCCCAGCTGCTGTGTCCTTGGGCTGCTGGTCTGTGAAGTCTTACTCCGTCAACCCTCAGGTTGGCCTGTTGCCCCATCAACACTGTAGGGTGCTGAGCAAAGGCTATTTTTTCTGTGCGGGTAATAACACACAGAGAGTGAGGAGACAGTCGTGGAGCCAGCAGATACTGCATAGGCTCAGAACCCTAGAGTAATTACAAGTGGGGGAGCATCTCTTCTTGGCGTTCAAAGGAGGCATCTTGTTGGAATTCTACGTACAAACTTGTGCACAAAAATTTAAATTTATATTTCAGTACCTCAATATATATGAAACAGATGTGTTGAAATAAACTGATGATTTTGGAGAATTTAACTAGCCTCCAGAAGCCTCAGTTTCTTCATCTGTAAAATGGAGAGGAATCTAGTGCCTGCTCCAGAGGGCTGCTTGGAGGTTAAATGATGTAACACTTGGAGGTTCTGAGAAAGGGTTCATGCTAAGCACTTAGGAGTGCTCTGTTATGTTAGAGCCCCACCACTGAGGAAGCCCTTCTGTAGCATACTTGAAAGAGTCATGTGAGTTTCCAGAAGTCCTGACTGTTGGTCGCCAGTAGCTTCCCATAGATAAACAAGTTGTTCTAAATTCCATTCAACTTAAAAACTCCCATCTGTTGTTTCTGCTGTACTTGGCATTAGCTGTCCCTGGCTCTTTGTTCCTTAACTGTTAATAATAAACTCTGGGTCTTCTCACAGGGACAGGGACTGTCTTAGAATCATTTAAGTTCCAAAAGGACCCCAAGTCCACATGACTTCAGTGATGATAGATTTGCGAGACAGTATATTGGGATACAGAGAGAAGTGCTTGCACTATATTTATCATGTTAATATTATCCTCTAGTTATTGCAGACTGATCAGGCCTGCAATCTCCCAAATGAGTAGACAGTGAGGGCTTAAATAAATGGGACAAATGAAATGATTTCATGGCTCCGGGAGGTTCCAAACCCTCTATCAGAATTCTGGGGCTCAGACAAAGAATTTCTCTGGGTGGCCCATGTTTATTAGGTCTTCAAACAAAGGAGGGGGAGACTTAAGAAAACGTGGGCATTTTAGCAGGACCTTGGGAAATATTTTCCCAAGTAGTAAATTATGTCAATCAGGAGAACTACCTTATCGTTAGGCTGGCATTTACTGTAGGAGTGTGGAGCCTGAAGCTGCAGTCTCCGTCTAGTTAATTGGGGTTGGAGCCAAACGTCCTCAGCTGTGGCCTTATCTTGTCCTTTGAGGTGTCACAACCTCACAGGTCTCAGTGGTGACCAGTGACTCACAGAGGTTCACTTGCTATGAGTCTGTTGCCCATCTCCAGACAAGGGGCATAGGCTTTGGACAACTCACAAGTAAACATGGAAAGCCAGTTGGTTAATATAAGTCCTGCTCAGAGCCACTTTGTAGTGGTCTTCATCATATAGTTAAAGTTTTTTATATTTCATTATAATTCACATATAATGTCACACATAATTTATAAATTCACATTAGAGAGGTTTCATAATTTTTTTGAACTGTGGGGTTTGTTTGCATGTAATCTAAAGTTTGGAAACGATGCATCTGCAGATTCCTTCCTTCAGTTGGTAGCTGAGCAGTGTCTGCTAGTTGCTGCCATGTGTAGGGAGAAGTCTGAAGTCAGGAGGAGCCTGTCCTAGCCCAGCTGAGAAGAAGGGATTGACGCTCTCTTTCTTCCTGTCTCAGTTGAGCAGGTTTCTTTCTGTTAAAGTAGGACATCAAGGACAGCAATACAAAACTTAAATACTCAGCTTATAAATGTATTCGTTTTCTACTTCTTGACATGAGGTCTCACTGTGCTGCCCAGGCTGGCACCAAACTCCTGGACGCTAGCAATCTTCTTGCTTCTGCCTCCAGAGTAGCTGGGATTATAGGCACATTCTACTGTGCCTGGCTGTAGTACTTCTTTTTTTTTTGGTACCAGGAATTGAACTCAGGACCTCGTGCTTTCCGGGCAGGTGCAATGTGACTGAGTTATATCCCTGGCCCCTAATACTTCTTTTTGAAATATAGGACAAGGCCTTTTCTTTGAATATGAGCTATTGCTTAGAATTCTACTTTGTCTTTTTGGCATAAAGTATACCCAGAAGTATAGACATTATCTATACTTCGCTTCTGGTTCCTTTAAAATGTGGTAAAAAAAATTACTTTCAAAATAATCTGAGGGCAACGTCCTTGTAAATTCTCAAGATTTTTTCCATGCCAATCTGGATATTTGAAGTCAATCAGTTATCATGTAGTATTTAATTAAACTTCTACTTAAAATAAGCAATACAACCAGATTTGAGACCAAACCCAGTTGTCCCTTGGTGAATATCTGAGATGTGTAACTCTCCTGGTGAGAGCAGAAGTTCTCAGGTGTGCTGGAGAGGAGTGTGTGTAGCAGGTAGTCAGTGGGCAGGACAGCAGTCGCCAAGGCTGTTTGAGGCAGCTGAGTGGTTGACCACTTAGCTCTGGGAGCTAGAGCATACAGTATGCCGCTCACTGGCTAAGTGGAGATACTTTGGGGAGCTTCTGTTGTGTCTTACTCTGCCTGCTTCTCCATCTTCAGGTCCTGGAGTTACAAGAATGCTGAAGTACTCCCTCACTGGGTATCGTAGAAATCTCAGAATTAACTTCCTCAGGGTGTGAATTCCTGGCCTCTTACTTGGCTTTGTATTTTCAAGTTAAGATTACTTAAAATTTTTCAGATATTCTCAGAAAGGCGGCTTGCAAAAACAGTACAAAGAATTTCCCCTGCCCCAAGCTGTTTGAGGGGAAGTTGCTAATGTGATGCCCTCTTGGCCTTCGCTGAGGGCAAACAAGGACATTTTACATAACCTTAATCATCCAAATCGGAAAATTAATATTGATACGTGCTATCTACTCATTTTACGAAATGTTTCAATAATGTCCTTTTACCTTTTTTTGAAAATCTTGTCTTTTTGCACAGGAGTTCTAACCAATTTTGCCTTTATTTTGGATATTTAAAGTAGTGGTTTCTTTCTCTAGGGCCTTTGTCAACTGGCATTTTTTGGAAAGATAGGTTAAGGTACAGGAAATTTTTCTATGCCAAATATCCTTTCGAATATAAAAAATTCTTACCGGCTTCATTAAGTCAAATATTTATTGAGCATCTATTATGTTCAGGCTCATAAACACAGATCATGGTGATAGGCCCTTAAATATCTTAAGCACATAAATATCTTTCTTAATATTAAAAACATCATCCAGGCCGAGTGTGGTGGTTCATGTCTGTAATCCCAGCACTCGGAGGCTGAGGCCGCAAGATTACCTTGAATTCAAGCCCAGCCTGGGCTACATAGTGAGTCCAGGCCAGCCTGACCTACATAGTGAAACCCTGTCTCAAAATAAATATGTACGTACATACATACATACATACATACGTACATAAATAATAAAATGAAATAAAAATATCATCCAGTGTTTTACTGTATTAATGGTATCAAGACTGTGTTTGCACCCATAGGTAAATGAGGACACTGTAGTAAAATGATGTGAAACCTATAGGTTACATGCTGTAAGCTCCAAGTTTTTTTTTCTCTTTTTGAGACAGGGACTCACTACGTAGTTCAGGTTGGCTTTGAGCTCACTTTGTAGCTCAGGCTGGTCTCGAACTCACAACAGTCCTCTTGCTTCAGCCTCCCGAGTGCTGTGATTACAGGTGTGCTCCACCGTGCTTGGCCATGCTCTATATTTTACTTATAGTAATAGGTTTTCTGTAACCTATGAAGAGCAGATAATGCTTGCAGGGAATAAGGTAAAGGAATATCATTTCCTGAGAAAATGCATTTCATACCTTCATCATTCCTGTACGTAGGATTTCAGACCAAAATGTGAATTTACGGTCTTTTATTTCTTTGTCCTATAACATGCCCAAGAGGCAGTAAGTACTATAGTGTTTTCCGCCATGGCTATCAGTATGTCTGAGATGTGGCATCTTTCTGTCCTGTATTTTTGGTATCTTCAACAGTGATGGTTCCAAAAAGAGGCCTTTTGGGTGGCGTTTATAACTCACTTAGGGTCACACTACCACAAACTCAGGAATCCTCACTGGTTGGTGCATTGGTGGGTATCACACTGGACTTTACTTTGAGTCTGTGCTTTGTCAGTCCTCCTTGTGAGGCATCCACTGTCTTTTCCTCGTCAGCTGTGAGGGTCTGCCATGTGACAGCCACAGTGCTCAGCACAGGTAGAGATGGTTGTATACACATCTGCCTCTCCAGGGTCGGGGGTTGGTGGTCTCAGACAGGGAAAGGAAGCAGTAGACCAGAGTGTTAGAGGCGTTGTGATTGAAATGGGTACCTGGGAAGGATGTGCTGTTTGGGTCCCGAGCTAACATAAGGCATAAGATTGGGTTTTCCTTAAACCCTTGTAGAGTAGGTGAGGGGAGCAGGCTAGGACAAAGGGTGTCTGAGTGGTGACAAGCATTTCTTTGAAAAGGTAGGATGCATTGGTAGCCTAGCTGCGACCCTGCTGGTCACCAGTGTTGACTGGGTGTTGTAGCTAGTGAGTAGTATTTTCCTTCCGCCCTGCCTTCTTCTCAATGAAGTGTGCTTCTGCTGGGGCGGCTGTTGGGGGGGGACTTGCAAATCTTTCTAGAGAAGAAATGAATTGGGAGCAGTATATAATATGGACTCCCATCCTAGCTCTGTGATTATGTCATCCTGGGAAGTTCACTTGTCCTTCATGAGTTTATGTGGGTATCAAGCGAGAATAGTGATTTTCCTGGCTGCCCACAGGACTGAGGGGAGGGCCCAGGGCTGATGCAGGAGTGTTGTAGTTTAGAAAGTGCTTTCATGTGTGAGCAGTCTTCCTTTTGTTCTTTGTGGGTTTTTATTTTTAAATAGCTTGGCTTTTCAGTACATTTAGATGTACAGTATGAGTTGTTGAGTATGTAGCATAGGTAGAAGTAGGCAAGGATCTGTTCAGGTGTCTAATGTGTAAGTGTCTAATTAGGTATCTCACTGTCTCACCATAGCCATGTTTTTTCCGCTAAAAAACATGGTTTTTCCTCTAAAAAACGTGGTTTTTCCGCTAAAGTAATGTTGTTGTTGTTTTTTCGTGGTACCGGGAATCGAACTCAGGACCTTGTGCTTGCCAGGCAGGTGCTGTGCCACTGAGCTAAATCCCCAGCCCGAGTAATGTTGTTTTTAAAAAAAACTCTTTCATAGCATTTAACTTCTATTTCACCTTTTAAAAAATACTTCGTTCATCTTACCGCTTGCAGGTGTATTCTTTATTGTATCATCAGTTAAAATAAAGAGTTGTGTGTTTATTTGTAAACTTTTGTCTTGATAGGATCTTTAATGACCTGCTGCTGTGGGAGCCTACTGCTCCCTCCCCAGTGGAGACGTTTGAGAATCTTTCCTATGGGATCGGGCTTTCTGTGGCCAGTCAACTGATTAATACCTTCAACAAAGATAGTTTTAGTCCGCTTAAATCTACTGTTCACTATGGTAATATATTTTAAATTTGTTCTGAGTTAAAATGCCTAGCTTTTAAATCAGTACAGTAGTTTCTATTTCAGTTGTAAAATTAAAAATGTCTTCTTTATATTTTCTCTTTATAACTGTATTTTATAATTTCTTTGATAATTTATAAGAACGTTTCCCCATTAATATTACCACTTCACTATGTTATCTGTAGAGTGATAGTATACACATTAAAGTTCAGAACTAAAGAGAAAAATGTAAAGACATGTTTTTATTGTCATTCCATATATTTTGTGAAAGTAAGGTTACCAACACAAAATATGTTTGTGCAACTTTTTAAGTTGCTATTTTGTTTCTGTAAGCTCTAAGAACCGTGTAATACCATAGTTTTTTCTCATAGATGAAGAAAGTGGATCTGAAGAAGAGACTTTGCAGTATTTTTCTACTGTTGATCCCAATTATCGTTCCCGTAGGAAAAAAAAATTAGACCCTCAGAACAAGAACTCCCAGAGTTTTCTTTCTGTTCTTCTGAATATTAATCACGGATTGATGGCAGTGTTCACGGATGTAAAAGTAAGGATTATGGATTACAAATCCAAAGTGTTTTTTCTAAGTACCTTATTTTGAAGAAGTATAAGGCTGGGGATGTAGTACAGCAGTGGAGCACTGGCCTAGCATGTGTGCAACCTGGGTTCATTTCTGTCCTGTGACTGAAGTAGGTTCAGTTGTTCAGTGCATGAGGAAGACCAGTGCTGAGGCCCAGCAGGAAAATAGCAGCTTCTGGCATGCAGCAGTCATTGCCAGGCAAACCTTTATGGCCCTTCCTTTGGAAAATGGGCTAATTTTGTTCCTCAGGTGGCAACTACTAGGTTAATTACTTTAAAGGAAGATGAAACAGAGATTGACAAGTATTTGGCAGAGGAGGTCTTACATAGCATTTAATTACTCAGGTTTTAGTATCTCCGTATTGACTGGTGCAAGAGTTAAGCTGCTTTTGTTGTGAGGTGGGACATTTTCCTACACTGAACTAAGATCTTATTTAAGTAACCACTTTTAGGAGCTGAGGATGCAACTCAGTGGTAGAGTGCAAGCCTAGCATGAGTGAGGCCTGGGTTGCACGTCCAGCACTGAAATTAAAAACGAAATTGTAACTGCTCTGTTTCTCTCTTTTTTTGTTAGCAAGATAATGGAGAACTGTTGGAAAACAAGCATGGTGAATTCTGGTTAGAGTTCAGTAGTGGTTCGTTGTTTTGCGTGACAAAATATGAAGGTTTTGATGACAAGCACTACATTTGCCTTCATTCTAGCAGTTTCAGTCTGTACCACAAAGGTAGGACAAGTGTGTATTTCTTCATTTCCATTCGCACGTGTTTAATTTCTTATTTAGTAAAGAAAATCTGTTGAGAACAGAACTTTGAAATTAGAAGTTATTTTTTGTGTGGGGATCTGATCCCTCTGTCATGATTAGTCCAAGTAATATCAAGTACTTCATTCTTTTTTATACTGAATGATATTGTACTGAGTGGATATACTATATCTTACTTATCTGTTTATTAGTTGATGAGACTTTGCATTTCTTAGTCTATCTTAAGAAATTTTTTTTTTTTTTTGGTTTCAAGTACAAAATTTACCATTTTTTGAGAAGTTGTCCAAGTTGTACCTTGTGCGTAGGTATGAGATACAAATTTTTAAAGTTTATGAGATTGTCCTATTTAAATTTCATTTTGCTTGCATTTCAGAATCTTAGGTTTTTTTAAAAAATGTTTTAAGTTGTGCACTGTCAGTCAGTTGTACCTTTGTATATCAGCATTGGCAAAGAGGAGTAAATAATTAATGCCAGCCTGGTTCTTGGGCATCACCCTGCCAGGATTTGGAAATGCAGGTTGAACATCTCCAGTCTGAAAACCCAAAGTCTAAAGTGCTGCAAAATCCAGAACTTTTAGTGCTAATAGGATGCCATGAATGGAAAAGTCCTCACCTGACCTCATGTGATTGGTCACAGTTAAAATGCAGGCAAAATAAAAATATTGCATAAATCATTTTCTGGTTGTTTATTTGAGGTGTATGTGAAACAGAGGAAGTTTGTGTTTAGACTTGGGTCCCTTCCCCAGACACCTCATTAGCTATTATGAAAATTCCAAAATCTGAAAATATCACAATGTAAAACACTTCTGTTCCAGGGCATTTCAGGTAAGGGCTACTCAACTTGTACGTGGAGTTTTGTTTTGAATTTATGGAAGTCTAGACAGAGAACTAATTTCATGTAATCATTTTGTTAATATTTTCACCCCATGGTGGATCTAGGCATAGTGGATGGAGCGATTCTTCCTACAGAAACACGCCTGCCCTGCTCAAACCGCCCACATTGGTTGGAACCTACTATTTATTCCTCTGAAGAAGGTGGGCTTAGTAGAGGTGCTTCAGATGGTGTGGGAGGAGACAATCTGAATATGCTCTCGGTTGCAGTCAAAATACTGTCCGATAAGTCAGAGTCCAATACAAAGGTTTGTGTTTTATACCTTTATTTTGTTAAGTACTTGCTGTTAATTTGATTGCTAGCTAAGATTGATTGTATAAGAGGTAAGGCGTTCACTTTCTTGGGAAGACTTTTGAATTACAAGATTCCATAGGTGGTAAATGTAATTCTTTGTCTTGTTCTCTGTAGGAATTTCTTATTGCTGTAGGACTGAAAGGAGCCACTCTTCAGCACAGAATGCTTCCTTCTGGTCTTAGCTGGCATGAACAGGTAGGGCAGCTGTTACGTTCAGTTTATTTTGAAATTTATGTTGGCATGTAATGCACTCAAGGAAAAGGTCACAGGTCATAAACGTTCTCCTCAGTGGATTATAAAGTAAATACTATGTATCACCACCCTTAGGTTAAGGTGTACAACATTAGGATCACTACAGAAAGTAATAGATTGTTTTTTTCTTAAAGTTTGATTCCTAAAACTTCTCAATGACAGAGTTGTCTTTTTGTCATTAAAGAAAAGGAAAGCATTCTGTGTCCCAGGATCAATGGATGTCTATAATGAATTGCTTTTATAAACAAAAGATTTTTAAGTGCCATGATTTCTATCTTATCCCCTAGGCCAGTGATGGTGAACCTTCTAGAGACGAGTACCCAAACTGCAACCCAAAACCCACTCACTTATCCTAAAGTGCCAACACTGCAATTAAATCTGAATAGTGAGGTTTCTGTTTAGAAAAAACAATTCATACATTAACATCCTTTGTCTCAAAAGAAAAATAGATAACATGTGTGCCATCGGTTTGCCAGCCCTGCTCCAGACCATTAACATGATGGTGCTTTAGAGCATTTTATCAGGATTTCTGTAATTTCCAGTTGAATCACCTCTATATAGTGAAGTTAAGGTGCAAAAAAATTTTTTTTGTCAGTGCTGGTAAGCAAAATCAGGGTCTTGCACCATGATGGGCAGTTCTTTTGCTATATTCCCAGTCCCATAAATTTTTTTTGTTTTAAGTTTCTGTTGTTAGATTGGATTGGTTGTTTTTGAGTAATAGGTACCCTTAAGTATGAACTTCGAGGAAGAAGCAAATAAACAAAGTTAGCTTTTCTTTATGTGAGAATGAAAGTACACTATGATTTTTTTCATGTTCCTTGGAAAGAGGAATTTTTCATTGTGCAAGGAAAATAATAAATTATTTAAAAACTTGAATGTTTCCAGGGGTTTAGGAAACAGGAAGGTATCTCTGTCTCTGGTGGAAGTAGATGGTTAGTATCAACATTTAATCAGCTATAAAGGAGACACTCAGCAGGACCTCCTTATTTCCTTAGAAATGTGAGACAGTAGGTGTTGGTGAGAGGGCCTGGTTTTCAGACCGAGTATAAATTAAGGAAAGTGAACTTCTTTCAAGAATGAGTTATATGGACAAGCAAACCCCTCACTGGTTATTTAGGAAACCAGGTTTTCTTTTTTTCAAATAGTTTTCAAGAAATAAGTTTTTAGAAGCTTGTTCTAAGAAGAATAATGTGAAATTATATATGCTTTGTTATTAATCAAGATACAATTTCTTGAGATTTTATAGCATTGCAATTGCTGGATGTTTTCCTACATTTCAAATTCTGATTTTTTGCAAGTATTGTACTATTAAAAATTTTATTTTTCACTGTATATATGTAAGGTGTAAAAGATGAGGATTTGATATACACAGTGAAATGACTGTTGTCAGGCAAATGAACATATCTGTCACCTGCTGGGATTTCCCTTTTTTTGTGTGTGTATACAACTTGAAATGAATTCCTTCAAAATGATTTTTCTTCTAGCATTATAAATTTCCAATTAAATGGTTACTTTTCTGTGTAATACTTTATTTATACTCATTAAATATATTATATCAAAGCTTTTTTTCTTCTAAAGCAGGGCATTTTATATTTTTGTGATTATAGATCTTATACTTTTTGAACATTGCTGATGAACCTGTTTTGGGATATAATCCTCCAACTTCATTTACAACCTTTCATGTTCATCTTTGGAGCTGTGCACTTGATTACAGGTAAGATCACAAATGTAACAAAAATTATGTTTTATTTAAAGTGCGTATTAGCTGGGTGTGGTGATGCCTGCCTGTAATGTTAGTACCCTGGGAAGCTGACACAGGAGGATCATAAATTAGAGCTCAGTGCTGAGCAACTTAGGGACTTGTCGTGACCCCATCTCAAAACAAAGAGGGGCTAGGGAAGTGGCTCATTGCAAAGGGCCTGGGTTTAATCTGCAGTACTGCAAGAAACAAAATACTAAATTTTGAAAACTACCTAGTTCAGTAGAGTTAGATTCAAAATACTTTTTAAAAAGACTTTGTCTTACATCAAATTGATACCCCTTCCTTTTTTTTATTATAGGCCACTTTATTTGCCCATCCGATCTCTTCTTACAGTTGAAACATTCAGCATTTCTAGTAGTGTTGCACTGGATAAATCTTCTTCTACTCTCAGGTACTGATGTTAATGTCATTATATGCCAGATGTAGCCCTTCAGAACATATTAATTGATATTTAAACCAATTTATTAAAGTCTCAGTCTTTTGTTAAAATCATTGTTCCTCTGCTAATAGTCATATTCTTTCGTCTAAGTTACTCATTCTTATTTCTCAGCTGACTTGGCCTGTCCTGCTCTTTTCATTATTGTGTTTTAATTCTTGGGAGTCTTAGTTTGTTTTTAGAACATACGGTAAACTTTTCAACAATTGATCCACTTTATCCTTGTAATTTAAACCTTGTGAATTTCGAAGCTGGATGTGGGTGGTGCACAGCTGTAATCCTAGCGCTCTAGGAGACTGAGGCAGGAGGATTTCAATTTTGAGCTCAGCCAGGGCAATTTAGCAAGACCCTGTTGCAAAAATAAAAAATAAAAAAGATCTGAGGATGTTGCTCATTGTAAAGGTCTTGAGTTTATTCCCCAGTCAAAAAAAAGAGCATAACAAAACAAAACGCCTTGTGAATTTGTGCATCTTTGTAAAAACTTGCCAAAAATTTAAAATTAATTTGAGCAAGTGATTACTCTCATTCTTTATACCATTTTAAGATTTCTAGCGGTCATAAATAATAAATTTTTAAAAAATTAATAATTAGAAAATGCATGAGTTTGATGTTCATTAAGTATAGGGTGATCGTGTGGTATATATTTGAAGCTTAGTTTTTCAGATGTTGGTTTTATCTTTTTTCTTCAGAATAATCATGGATGAGGCTGCTTTACATCTGTCTGACAAATGTAATAATGTCACTATAAATTTGAATAGAGGTAAGAGTTAAAATCTCTACTAGATTAATACTGCTTTGTTTTTCGTGTGTGATTATTTAAAAGCATTTGAATTCTGGAGGGATGCTAATTAAGGATCTTGTTACAGATCTTTAGAGGTTGAAGGATATAGTGTTAATGTGATGTGTATTCAGAGTTTTTCAAGTACTGACTTTTCAGTTTGAAGTTATAATATTTTTGTAAAACATTAACTACATGCACCGAATTATATATACTCCAAATATTTATTTAATATAAGACAGTTTGGTTCTAACTAAAGCTAAATTGTAGGATGAAAGTAGACAGAATTTCTATTACATCATAAACATTTGTAATGCTGTCTGCAATGAATTTTAAAGAAATGCTAGATTCCTTAGGTGTTGATTGGGTAAGCATTTTTTGAAATCCATACCAAGACATTTTATTAATTATGTTTACCATTTTTAGATTATGTCCGTGTGATGGATATGGGACTTTTAGAATTAACTATAACTGCAGTGAAGTCTGATTCTGATGGAGAGCAAGTAAGCTATTAAGTAGAGATCTTATATATCCATTTTTCCTGTGACATGAAAATGATATCTTGTGTAATGTAAATCTTTATGAACGAAGAAATTTCCATCTGTTGTTTGGAAAACGTTCCATCCTTTTCTCTCTGTGTCCTGTGTAGACTGAGCCCCGCTTTGAGCTCCACTGTTCCAGTGACAGCGTCCACGTCAGAACGTGCTCAGACTCTTGCGCCGCACTGATGAATCTCATTCAGTACATTGCAAGCTATGGTGATCTGCACGCCCCTAACAAGGTGGCACCGAAACCTGGCACCCCTCAGAGGAAGTCAGAGGTACTGTGTGCACTGTCTCCCCCAGTCCCTACCTTATGCCTGCCATGTTTGGGTCACTGAGATCACCATGACAGTCATTAGGTAGAAAAGAAATGCTGCAATGTCAGCTGTCTCTTTATCTTCTGAGTAAAGGCCTTTTGGAAAAACATTCTACCTTTTGACATTCTTTGTTTCAGAACATTAATCTTCTCCACAGATGTAATATGGTGCTTTTTTTCTAGGGTTAGGTTATTTTCATCTGTTCTCAGGGAGGAAAAAAAACTTGAACTCTTACTCTAATAATCTCCCGTTTGTTATCTGTAACGCTATCCAGCTTCCAGTATATTTCTCGTGCACGCTTTCCTTTCCTCTTCATGACAGCCCAGTGAGAAGAGAAGTTAATGATTATTATCTGCTTCACAGATGAGTCGGGTAAATCCCAGATCATTTAGGTGATTTGCCCTAAATTAATAGGAGAAACAGCAGTAAACGCAGATATTTTGTTTTTGAGTTCAGTGATTCTGACCTTTCATGTCAGGCTTGCACACTGTCCGGCTTTTTCAGCATTTGTCTTTTTCAGATCATTTTTCTTCACGGCCAGTTGTGTGAACAGAGTCTCAATTCACTCAGCTCAGGGCACCTCTGTTAGGGAGGTCTGCCTGGCATTGCATTTTGTCTTGTTTGCAGACCCTTCCTGTGTCTGACGCTTCTGTATGTGACTCCTTGCTCCTGCTGTATTTTACTGATAATGTGATTCATGACTCATTTATCCTGTTTTAGAAAACACTCCCCAGTTTATTAAAAGTTATTTTAAATTATCCCTTTCAACTTAGATCTTTCCATGTTAGACTCATGCTCACATTTTAAAAAGCATACCTTGGGGCTGGGGATTTAGCTCAGCAGCAAAGCGCCTGCCTGGCAAGCGCAAGGTCATATTTGGTTCTTGGTACCGGAGAAAAACCAAAAAATAAAAAATAAAAAATAAAAAGCATACCTTAACGCCAGATGTGGTGCAGCATTCAGGAGGCTGAGGTAGGAGGATCACTGAGTTCAAGGCCAGCCCGAACTACACGCTTGAGACCTTACCTCAAAAACAAAATAAAACACATAGCTTAATTTTTTTTTTTTTAGCTTAGATTTAATGAGTCTGCAGTTTACTGACCAGAGCAGTGAAGCAGGAGTATAGGCATTGAGCCCTATGAGTCACCATGTAGTAGAGTTTCCCTCCTTTGTACATCTCTGCTGCTCAGAGAAGTCCTAGCTTTGTCTCTAAGCATGAATGACCTCACAGCTATCAGATTTGAGCAGATCACACCTAATGAGCAACCCCTTCCCCAGCTATGACAGAGCTCTCAGCTTCCCTCTTCCCCAGGGCATTGCCCATGTGAGATCTCAGTTTCCTGTGCGCCTTTGAGGTGATGACACATTTATTCCTGTCTGCCTGTAGTTGGGGTGGCGATGGCAGTACTGAAAGTGAAAATGTAACAGCTGCTGGGCAAAACATGGAAAAATAGTATTGTCCCCTTTCTGTGCTTCTGCAAAATACATTTTCTTGGCTTAAAATAAATGTAAGGAATTGCCTCTTAAAGAGTATTTTTAGAATTTTTTGTTGTTGTTTTTGTTTTTGTTTTTGAGATGGGGTCTCACCACACTGCCCAGGTTGGCCTGTAACTCCTGGGGTCCAGTAGTCTTCCTGTAGGCCTCCTGAGTTGTCTACAGTTACATACCACATTGCATATGTCTTCCACTGTTTTTACTTAGGGTTTTTGTCTGTAGGTAGAGTCCAGTGGTCGAGCATCCTCACGCGGCCCGGTGCTTCCTGAAGCAGATCAGCAGATTTTACGAGATCTGATGAGTGATGCTATGGAGGAGATTGATGTGGAGCAAGTCAATTCGTCTGTAAAACCACAGGCTAACGGTAAGGCCGGGACTTTTTTGGGGGAGTCTTCTGTTGTGTTCTTGTCAAGTTTTGAGTACAGTAACTTAAAAGAAAAGACATGTCTGGGTTTTGGTGAGTGTTTATTAGCTAGTCAGCTTGTATTTATTGAGTGTCTAGTAGATAAATAACACAGGCCAGGGTGATGCAGGGCATGTGGAGTAGGGTGGGACCCAAAACTTCATTTCTGATAGCTCACAGCCTGGGGATACAGATTGGCACTAAACTGATGCTGGTGCATAGAGTTACTGACACATGACAGAAGGAAACCCCTTACAGTGTGGCATACACTGTGCTGTTTGGGAAAGATTGGGATAGCTTCATGAGACTGTAGTGAGGATGAGACAAGTTGGCTTTTAAAAGTGGTTGGGAATTAGGTATGTGGCGAGGAGGAAGAAGGTAATCTTGGCAAGGTCACGGATGGGTCTGTGGTGGAACATAGGGGCATACTTGAGCCTTCATTGTTCCACTGTTACTGGTCTAGCAGAGAACAGAAATCCCTTAGTGACAAGAAGCAGACACAGTCAAGTGAGAGGGAGGTGCGATGATTAAAGATCCTTGAAAACCAAATGGAAGCATCTATGTATTTTGAGGCCTCTTTTTCAAAAAGAGTTTTTTTAGTTGGATAAATACAGGTATTTCTACATATTAGGGAATCTTTTTTATTTTTGCAGAATTGAGGATTGAATCTAGGGGCTCATGAACCTAGGGGCTCATGCATGCTAGGCAAGTGCTCTACCACTGAATTACATCCCCAGCCCTTTTTAACATTTTGAGACAGTTGTGAAGTTGCTTTGATTGGCTTTGAACTCATTACACACCTGCCTCAGCCTCCCAGATTACATGGCATCTTAAGTTTTAAATATTTCATGATGTTGTAAAAGTTGGCATTTGTTGTGGCTTTCATTTTAATTTAGGATAACTAGAACTAAGGAAGTAAATGGACTTGTAGCTTCCTGTGTACTGATTTGTAATAAATAGCAACAGGTGTCTTCATACATGAAAGGAATATTAGGTGAGTATTCACTGAAAGGCTTTAATAGACAGTGTTCTTCACTGGGCACTAGGCACTTATGAGGATGTATAAAAATCTTTAAAATCTTTAAAATCTCGTGACCCAACCTCTTGAGGCCAGAATGTAACATTGTTCATTTTCGTGTTCTTACCCACATCCCAGTGTTAACGTTTAAGTGTATGGAGAAAAAAAATCAGTGACTTTCATGTGTAATATAAATGTATAAAACGTGTGCTCACATGCAGGTTTTCATGTATATGCTATCTTTTGTGAACTTTATATTGAAAGAGCTCCCTGAGAACAGGTGTGCAGTGTGGGTATCTAGTGCTGAAGAAGTAGTCATCTTTCCATTGTTTGGAACCTCTGCCCTCCCCTGCCTAAAACATGCCTCCCCTTCCACAAGCGGAGAGCTATAGTTTTAGGAGAGGCTTTGCTAGATGTAACAGTTTCCCCTCCTAGTGTAACATGTCCTGAGAAGTTTCTCCAGGTCTTTAGTCACAGGACAGAATTGTCAAGAGTTAGAAATTCCAGCCAAACCAAAACTCCAGCCAACTCTAACCTGGCATTACTGAATTCCTGAGCTTCCCCAGTGCTAAACAGGGGGAACTGTCTCTACTTTATGACACTGCCATTTACTATTTTTTGAGAGAATGTCACAGTTATTTTTAGTCTTTTGTGAGTGGTCTTTGATACATTTCTGCCTCTGGGTAAGGTGTTTTAGGCAAGTTATTTTAGCTTTCCTTAAACCCTAGTTCCATAGAATTACATATGTGAGATTTTGTAGGTGAAACCCTTCAACATAATGTGTATCTGACACCTGGTTAAGATGCTTGGTGTTATTGTTGGTGTTTCAAAGTGTGCCAAAATGTCATATTCTTTTTATCCAGGTGTTTTGGATGAAAAAGCTCACATTCAGGAGCCATGTTGTTCAGACCTCTTCCTGTTCCCAGATGAGAGTGGGAATGTTTCCCAGGAGCCTGGCCCCACTTACGCCTCCTTCTCTCACCACCTGATCAGTGATACCATGTCAGCTGTGCCTACTGAAAATGACGACTTTTGCATCCTTTTTGCACCAAAAGCAGCTGTCCAGGTAATAAATAGTTGACATTTTGAGGCCTTAAAATTATGTTACAAAGTGAGCTAGCCAAAGGATACCTAAAGAAAAATCTTTAGATTTTGTTAATTCTGTACAGTTCAGAATCACTTAATTTTGTAAAAGTGGTTGTTATACTTACTCTTTTTGTGGTATATCTTCAGAGATGCAGAGAGTCTTTGCAAGATTTCCTACATAGGTTTGTTTTGGTATTAGGAATTGAACTCAGGACCTTACACTTGCCAGGCAGGTGCTGTGCCACTGAGCTAAATCTCTGGTCCCCTACATAGGTTTTTGAACTGCACATGTTGAATGTAAGATGATTGAGGGCTATGAAATTAAGTGGCAAGAAGATGCACTGCACCAAGTCGCAGTCTGGGAGCTGGGAGAATGAGTTGCGGGCTGGAGGCTGAGATGAACACACATTCTCAAAACTGCTCCTGGTAGCTTAGGAGGTAGCTGTATTTGTTGCTAAATTCTGAGAACCTTCTGGTGAAATTTTTTTTTAAAAGACTCAAGTTCAGAGGAAACCTATTATTAGAAACATGATAATTTGATCAGTGTGTTGAAGTTTGTCAAGTTTTGGTTAAGAACACAATATTCACTTTAAAGAAACAAACATACAGACACAATCTGTGCCATTTTATTATCAAACACATAGTAGGAGCCAAATTGTAAGCTATGAAAAATGTTCATGGGGTAATTTATGTGCAATAAGAGAGTTCATTTTCTTGATGAAGCAGAGTATTTTATGTGATAATTGCTGTCAGAAATTATTACTTCATTTTACATATTGAAATTCTCTAAAAGGATATAGATTCAAAAAATCCCTTTGAGATATAAGCAATAAAGAATTATTTCTAAAGAGATGAGAGTGTGTGGTACCTGTTGACTAATTTCAGGAGAAGGAAGAAGAGCCCGTTATAAGAATCATGGTTGATGATGCAATTGTGATAAGAGATAATTATTTTAGCCTGCCTGTTAAGAAGACAGACACGAGCAAAGCCCCACTGCACTTTCCCATCCCTGTACTTCGATATGTGATTAAGGAAGTCTCTGTTGTGTGGCATCTGTATGGGGGCAAGGATTTCGGAGCAGTTCCTCCTGCTTCCCCAGCAAAAAGTTTTATGTAAGTTAATTTCTGTGTGTTTCTTTGGCAGATAGTATACTCTTCCCATGGAAAATAACATAGAACTTATCTTAGGAACTGATAAAGTAGTATTTAAATCTATGTAATTCAAATGCCACACTTAAAGTTTCCCATTTGTGAACTTACTTGTATTACTTGCTTTATTTATTTATTTACTAAAATATGACTTACATGCCTCATTTAGCAGGAAGTTTTAGGTATCTACTATGTGCCTGATCCTAAAAAAAGGGCCCAGCCCTTACCCTCAGTTCCCAAGGGAGAGCCAGAGGCAGTCACGTGAGTGACTGAGCACAGTGAAGTGCAGTGTTGGGCAGGGACCATGCACGCCCTGAGCCCCAGCACCCAGCACCCAGTGGGTGACTTGCGGAGAGCCTTCTCACTGGAGCAGGAAGAGCACGAGGCAGAGAGCTGTGGGGAGGGGGACAACATTCCTTTGGGGTGGCGAGAAGCACAGAAGGCTTCATGGGGCGGTAATGTTGTTAGCACTGTGTTTAGTTTAACATTACTTTAAAGCACTTGTGACTTGAGTTGCTTCTCACATGACTGCGCTTTTCTGTTTTAACCAGCATTTTTAGGACTTGTGGTCTGACCTAAAAAAGTTTTTGAGGTAGTAAGAAAGTTATAAGAAGGTCCCATTTTCAGGTGTATCCTGTGATATGGGCCCTATCGTCGTAATTAGGTTTCTTTATAGTTCTGGATGTTTATCAAGCAGACAACTAATGGCTGTAATAAAATACATTTTCAGTATCTCCACAATAGAAAAGATGTAGCTAGTTGTGTAATCATATTTTCTCTTTTCATCTTAATTTTCTGATATCATTCATTAAGTTTCTGTGGATGTTCTTAAACAATATTTTCTCTGTTTTCATTTTTAGTAGTCCTCATAGTTCACCTTCTCACACACCCGCAAGACATGGACGTAGTACAGTTTGTGGGGGGAAAGGAAGGAACCATGACTTTTTAATGGAAATACAGTTAAGCAAGGTAAGATGCCATTTAAAAGAGGAAAATCCACTTAGGAACATTAGTGAGGGCTTCTGGGTTACCGCTGCCCCCTGGGCTACGGCAGGGTTACCGCTGACCTTAAGTGCTCACTTTTGCATTAGAAAATTTATACAAGGATCTTGTATAAAAGACTCACGTCTTTCTTCCTCAAATGTTCTAGGAAGTCGGAGGTGTTTTTATGCTGCCCCTGGAGTCGGGGCTTCTCAGAGTTGAGTGAGCTCACAATCCCCTGAGGGGCTTTTTGAGACCTAGGCTTCTCGCCTCTGTATTTCTGATACAGCAAGTCTGAGGTAGAGCTGGAGAATCTGCGTTTTTAGTGAGCCCCGAGGTGGTGCTGGGACCACTTGTTCTAGGCCACTTAGTGACCACTGCCTCAGAATGTCTGTCTGGGAAGTGTGCCTGTGGGTAATGAGCGTGACGCGTCCTTTGTGAAGGGACACGTCTGGGGGCCGTAGTGCTGCACCACTGAGCCGGGTATCCTCATTTAATTTTGTCAGCTTGTTGCGGTGTCCCAAGTGACATATTTTAGGGTAGTTGGCCTGGGCATATTGTCATGGTGACAATTCCATATTAAACTTTGATTGTATCTTTGCCCTCTTTTGCAACTTGAACCCTGCCTTTATTGATTTTTATGTAATTTCATAAGTATGCAAGATGATAATTTTATGTCTTCCAAATGGGAATTTTGCTTGAAAATGATAGGGATTTTACTGAGGTCAGATAAAAATCGTTAGTGAAGCTTATCCATGTATGGTAGGGTGCAAATAGATCAACAAATAAATGATGAACAAATAAAATCTCATTTAGTTCTTTAAAAGTGGAATTGTAAGCTGAGGTGGAGTTCAAAGAAAACGATGAGTGAAACTTTGCATTTTACAGAGAAAATCTAATTTAAGTAAAGTGTTCTATATTTCTCCTCCTTGTCTATTAAGGTGAAGTTCCAGCACGAAGTCTACCCCCCATGCAAACCCGACTGTGACTCTAGCCTCTCCGAGCACCCAGTCTCTCGGCAGGTCTTCATTGTTCAGGATCTCGAGATTCGGGATCGGCTGGCAACATCACAAATGAACAAATTTTTGTATCTGTACTGCAGCAAAGAAATGCCTCGGAAAGCTCATTCCAACATGGTAGGTTTGAAAACCTCATTTTGTTGTTGTTATATTAGTTTTGGAGACTTACTCTGTTGTTGTGTCTAACAGCAGAAAAATTAGAGTGGGAAAATTACTAGAGAGGAGAAAAAAATTTTGATATGAAAATTCGTTTTAAATATGCTACTTAAAGTTTTATGTTTAAAAAGGTTTTTACTTATCACTTCTAGGGCCTATTAGGTATAGTTGCTAATAAATTGATATCTGAGGAAAACCAGAAATCCGTAGCAATCTGCACAAAATAATTAGGATTTCTAGAAGTGTTACAAATTTCTAACGTTTTTGAAATTTAAGGTAGAAATGCTTAGCTCAGGACTTTGCAGATTTCTACAAGATGGTTTTGAGGGTGGGCTGTGAACTGGCTTCAGCTCTGGAAGCTCCTTTGAGCATACAAGTACGGTATCCATTCACAGCTTTTCCTTTAAGGAGAGTCCATGGCTGTTACAGATTCTTGAAAAGGGTTGTGGACCAAAAAAACTAGATTCAGGCTTTTAAATGGGTAGACAGTTCCACTTTTTACTTCACAGAAAAATATGATTTTTTTTTCTTCCTTTTTTAATGAGAGCCAGGTCATAGCATTGGGGAAAAACAATTTTCTCTTTCTTGTAGTTGACAATTAAAGCATTACATGTGCGTCCAGAGTCTGGCCGGTCACCACAGGAATGCTGCTTGAGAGTGTCATTAATGCCGCTTCGCCTCAATATTGACCAGGTTTGTAGCATGGGTGTGATTCATGTCACTGTGATAAGATGTATACCGTTCATCTACAGTAAAGGAATTGTCATGTTTATTACTATTGAACTTTTGTGAAAATTACATAAAGCTGACTTCTGATTGTGGGAGTTGGTGGTCTCTCTGTGGTCCCCGGGAGAAAATGGCGAGAGGATTTAGGAAATAAAGGCAAGAGACAACAGCCAGGGTCAGGTGGAGTTACCTCTTGCTTGATGAGCCAAAGGACAAATGCATTAGAGTTCTGGAATCTGAAACTTGGGGTGAATAAATATTATTGATATTATTTCCAGTATCCATTGTCTGTGTGATGTAGGACTAGATACCTGCTACTCTGTGTAGTCTCTATGGACCTGCTCCTCCTCATTGAAAGATATGTACATTTTCAGGGACTATCAAACAATTCTGTGATGATGAAATGATACAAAGAATTGTGTATAATCACAGAATCTGGAAGAAAATTTTCCTGCCCTAGGCAAAATAGAAATTAGTAAATTATTACCTAAATTATTTCCTAACAGATTTATGGAAAGGCATAAAGAAAACCACTTTCCCATATTCAAACAAAGACTTCATCATATTCCTGTGGGCTTTGCTTTGTTCAAAGAACTGCTTAAAACATAGTTGGGCTCTTCCAGAACCCTTATTTGAGATGTATAGGATAAGATGCTTAGCATGGTGGGGAAGAGCCTGGGTTTGGAGTTAGACTGGGTTCTGATCTCAGTTCGATAACTTTTACTAGTTGTGTGGCTTCGGGTAAGTCATTTCTCTAGCCTCTATATTTTCTCATTGATAAAAATGAGAGAAACAGTAATACATGTATTTTTTTTTGATAAGCATTAAATATACTTGTGCATGAAAAGCATTTAGCTTGGTGCTTTGTGTGCTATGTTAAGGATAAGTAATATTAACTGTTGTTATTAGTACATAAAACCTGCAGGACTGGGGATGTAGCTCAGCGGCATAGTGCCTACTTGGCAAGCACAAGGCCCTGAGCTCGATTCCTGCTACCAAAAAAAAAGTGTGAGGTCCTGAGTTCAGGTTTAGGTACCCACACACACACACACAAACTGCAGAACATGAATGGAATTTTAAAATAATCTGCTTTAAGATAAGCTTATATTGAAGATAACGTTATATTGACCTGAGCTCAGTTTGAAGGTATTTATTTGTGGGGTGGCATTATTCATGTGTGTAACGTTGATTAGCTGTTGTTCATTAGGTACTTAATAAAACTTGAATAATCCACTGCAAGCAAATGGCCAGTATTTCAGGAATGAACTTAAATATTTATATGGTAAACAAAATATAGGCACCATCTTGGAGAAAATTACTGTGAATAGAGGGCTGTAGCTGATTTTACGTTAGTGCTTGTGGGTTCTGAGCTGAGTCAGACTTTAGATCTGTGTTTCCTCGTGAGAAGAATACATTTATATATCCACATTTTAATTCAGTTTATTCATGTATTAGCACAATAGAAATATAATGAAATATTTATAGGAAAATCCTTTTGTGGAAATCACTGGCATAAGCAAGACTTTGAGTAATACTCATCTTCATTGCATGACTTTACCAAACTTAGCAAGCTCAATATTCTTTAATAGTTTTTTTAATGCTGAGCATAATTTTTTCTTTAGTACTATAAAACTTAATGACTTTAAAATGGGGAAATATTAATCTTAGAAAAGACAGGCAAATAAAATTTATGATTATGTTGAGGAAGAATGGAAATAATTCCCTAAGACATAAAACCTCGCAAAACAAAGCTGTGCTACAGATATGTAAGTAGCTTGCTAAATGAAAAACTCCTTTTTAGTTTACATCTTCGAAGATTGACATACTATATTTTGAGATAGTAAACCACCACTGAGACTAGAAAACTAAGTATTTCTCTTCATTTTTATCTTGTGAGCACAAATCAATTGATGAATGATGCTGTTTTGAGTAATACTTTTTTTAGCAAGCATATCCTGTTCTTATTGCTCTTCATTAAGTATGAAAGCCACACATTGTTTTCTTTGATTGTGTGATTGACTAATTGATTGATTGATTGGGGACTGAACCAAGAGCCTTGAACATACTAGGCAGCCCCCTTACCACTGATGTATTAACTCCAGCCCCTTTCCTCATTTTTTAATTTGAGGTCATCTTGCTGAATCCCAGGCTGGCCTTGAACTTTTTATCTTCCTGCTTCAGACTCCTGAGTAGCGGGCATTATAGGTGTGAGCCATGGTTCCTGGCCCTCTGATGTTTTTTAAAAAGTTGTACTGCTGTCGAAGTTAAGTGCAGTTGCTTCTGAAGTGCATTGTCCCCATGGTGTAGGCAGCGAATACCACAGACAGAATGAGACCCAGCCGCAGAGTGAGTGGACCATGGAGGCCCTGTGACTGGACAGTTGGAGGCCCTGGCATTCCCTGACACAGGTTCATTTTAGTAGTGTATTGTTCAAAAGTCTGCTTAGGGAAGACATTAATTCAGACTCTTTCCTGAAAGCCTGTTTTATTCCAGGTTCAAACTAGGATGCTAGGTATACAAAGGTAAATAAGGTGTCTCTGTCCTCAGAGATCTCTCCATAGTGGGAAGACTGACACAAAGCGGCTATTTTTAATATGCTGTGGTGAGCACAAGTAAGGAAGATAGATGTAGGGTGATATGCCCAAAGAGGGGCTCGGGGAGAGGGATAGTCAGGAAGGCTTTGTGGAGGTAGTGGTGCTCGGACCAGTGTGAGGGGCTTGATGGGCAGTGCAAGGGGGCTCGTCAAAGGAAAGACAGAAAGGTCGCCCGGGCTGGCGGGAGGGGCCCACCTGAGCTGCTGGGGTGCCCGAGGCAGCTCTGCTCAGCCTTTCGTGTTCCGCACTGCGTCACTGCTTGAGGAAGTTTTTAATACTTTACCTTAGTTTCCAGTGTTAATATGTTTAATATGTTTTTGTCATAGCGCTTTAAAGCTAGACACACATATTTTACAGTTAAAGTTTAATATTAATGCCAAACAAAAGTGGTTTTTTTTGTTTTTCTTGGGTTTTTTTGGTACCGGGAATCGAACTCAGTACCTTGCACTTGCCAGACAGGCGCTTGTGCCGCTAAGCTATATTCCCAGCTAAAAAGTTTTTTAAAAATTGAATTGAGATATAATTTTTATAATAAAGGCCAGAGTTTCAGTGCAGAGTGGAGCTTTGACAGCTTTATACCCTGCAGTAACTCCATGCCAGTCGGGATCCAGAGCGTTGTCTCCAGTCCCCTCGTGGCCCTGTGTATTCAGTCTTCCCACTTCGGAGCAGCCGCTCACCTGCTGATCGTCAGAGGGTGGGATTTTCCTCCTGTGTAGCTTTGTGAAAACGGCGTTATACTTGGCTGTGTGCTCAGTGCCGTGTCTGTGCGATTGATCCTTGTCGTCCAGGCCAGCCGGCTGCTCACCTTCATTGCTGTGTAGCACTGTAGTTCCCTGGCAGATGTGCCATGGTTCCTTTATCTGCTCACCTGCTGGTTTATGTTTGGCTTATTTCTTGTTTTGGGCTCTTAATAGATAGCCTTACATAAGGCTGTTAGGAAATGTGTGTCCATTTTATGGACATGTTTTCATTTTACTAATACGGAATAAGAGCGGACTCTCTGGCTGGTAGGGCAGGGAATGTTTACCGAGCACGGGGAGCGGCCACGCGGTTCCCATGTGGCCGAGCCTCAGTTGTGAGTTCCCACCAGCCGCTCTTGAGCGCTGCTCTTGCCTTGCATGCTCATCCTCGCCGGGCTTGGTGGGGTCTTTCCAACCTTAGCTGCTTGCTTCGTGCTCACTGTGGCTTCGGTTTGGATCTCCCATCTGACTGGTGATGTTGAGCACCTTTTCATGTGTTTATCGGCCGTTTGCTTAGCTGCTTTTGTGAAGTGTCTATTTCTTGCTAGCTTTAAAATTGGTTTGTCTTACTGACTTAAATGTTTATCATAAATACCAAAATAAGGAAAATGTGAGAAAATTTAAAAAGCTACTGCTTATATTTTTGCATACTGTCTCTTTAGTCTTCCTTTTTTTCTTAAGGAACAAACGGCTGACTCAAATTTTCTGTATTCTAGAAGGCATGCTTGGAGTTAAAACATTTATTACATTCAGATATCACCATCTAGTGGCCAAAGAATAGCATTTTATGTGTACTATTTGTTAAAATGTAATGCTTGATATAATACAGATAAATGTAATAAATGCATGTAATGTGAATAATATATAAATATGCACAGGAGTGTACATGTTTAAAGCATAACAGCTCACAAACCGCTCTACCTGCTTCAGAGCCAGAGTATGTCTAATAATGTTACGACTGCCTCTGTCCCCCATATGCCGTGTTACCTGGAATTTTCTTTTCACTTCCATCATCTCTTTGTATTTATGATAAATGGGATTGCAGGTGATCCGATCCTTGGGAATTGACAGACTTTTTTGGTGTGCTACTAAATATTGGGAACCTGTAGTTCATTTTTATATTGCATTTTAGTACACTATTATGTTTTTTATTAATTTAGGACCTTTTAAAATGGAAGGGAAGCTGGGCATGGTGGTGCACACCTGTAATTCCAGCACTTGGGAGACTGAGGCAGGAGGATTGTTACAAGTTCGAGACCAGCCTGGGCTACAAAATGAGCTTAAGGCCAGCCTGAACTGCATAGTGAAACGCTGTCTCAAAAAGACTAAATAAATAAATTAATTAAATTAAATTAAGTGCAAGGGAAGGGAAGGGAAAATAAGGAAGATGGGTTTAACCATCTAATTTTTTTATTTTATTTTATTTTATTTTTTGTTTTTTTTCCAGTACTGGGAATCAAACTCACGACCTTGTGCTTGCCAGGCAGGCGCTGTGCCGTGGAGCTAAATCCCCAGCCCCAACTATCTAATTTTTAAATCCTCCAAGATGTATTTGTCAGTTTCAGTGAGGAAGGCAAAATGAAGCTGCCAGTAATAGGCAAATATAACCACATTATCAAGACAGCCAAACATTTTTGTTTGTAATCCTGTAGTTTCAGAAGAGACTACTTGAATGGATGATTTTGTTTTTTTTATTTTGAGTATCATGTCCAATGAAGAAAATGTATTAAAGCAAGTATAACATTTTGATAAAGTAGAAGTAAGTCATTAAGAACTTTCATGGCACATGTTAAGTATCCAGTACATGTGAGCTGCTGTTATTGTTAGTAACATTACCACTACCAAGTAAGAACGAAAGTGCTCTGTTTCTAAGAAAATTAAAAGGTCCTTTATTTGGAAATAATTGCTAGATTTGTAATTTTTAATTTCTCTATTTCTCCATGTTTGCCTCTGTGTTAAATTTTTTCACTGAGTTATGAGAATTAATAACTGTGTTGGTGTGTGTGTGTGAGAGAGAGAGAGACAGGGAAAGAGAATAGGAATAATGTATGATGCAGAGTAAGAATTCAGTAAATTATAGCTATTTTGAATAATGAGGAAAATGTAAGACTTTAGGCTACTTGTTTCATAGTTTTAGAAATATGGTAGATGTCTTTTTCTCCCTTTAGTTATAATGGCATCTCTTAATTCTAGGATGCCTTGTTTTTCCTGAAGGATTTCTTCACAAGTCTTTCTACAGAAGTAGAACTGCTGCTGACTCCAGATCCAGAAGGTATTTCACATACGCAGTTCGAAAATTCCACAGCAAATACAGATGCCTTCACTTAAGATGGGCTTATGTCCTAAGCCCCTGTTTTAAGTTGAAATACTGTAAGTCAAAATACATTCACAACATCGAACCTTCTGAGCATACAGCTTGGCCACACGGCACACTGTAGCACACTGGTCATTAACTCCTGGTGAGCTCCGGATTGATGGACCTGTGACTGCTGCGTCTGCCTAGCCTGGGGACAGAGATCAGCCGCATATTGATAGCCTGGGAAGTGATCAAAAGTCAACATTTGATGTGTGGTTTCTACTGACTGCACATAGTCCTTTGACACGACTGCAAAGCTGGTGTCACACCATCATGAAGTCAAACCATCGTTAAGACGGGCTGTTTGTACTTACACTGATTTTGATTGCTATGAGTTCTTTTTGAGAATATGTTTATATCTTTATTCCCATATATATGTGTGTGTTTTGTGTTATTAATTAATATGCAAATGTGACTTTATGTAAAAGAAAGAATTTAAACTTTTTATTAATTGGGATGTAGCAAAACAAGTTAAATTGATTGATTTAAACTGCTGTTCTAAAGAAACGTGGCTAATTTTTCAAATGCACACATTCCATTTCAGTTAAAAAGTCCCCTGGAGCCGATGTCACCTGCAGTTTGCCAAGGCATTTGAGCACCTCAAAGGAGCCAAATCTAGTTCTTTCTTTCCCGGGGCCAAAACAGCCTTCCCCAAATGATGGTGCCAATTCAGCAGAGGTGGCTAATGGAGTGGAAGAAAAGGAGTTCTCCGCTGAAGAAGCATCGTTTAGTGATCAGCCTGTGTTTTTTAGGTAAATAATTCAATTTTGATAACAAATAAGTTATTTGGAATTTTGAGGCTCATTCCATAATGCATAAGTGTACTGGTAGTTACGAGGTTACATCAGCTTTTTGCTTTGCCACATCATTAACTGGATGATTGCATGTGGTCCCCACCTAACTGGTAACCCTCATTTATAGATGGGAACCCAGTTCAGGATTCATCTGTCTATTCATCTGAATCTACAGCAGAAGTTCTCTTTTCTTCCTAGATCTTTCTTTGTTCCTTCTCTCTGGCCCACCCTTCCCACGTCACAATGATGTTTGCACCTCCCCAAATGTGCTGTCATCCTTTGCCTTTTTGTACACCTCAACTGTGGCATTCTGCCTTTACCCTGGTAGGAATTTCCTTCCCAGTTCTTAGTGTCTGCCCTACCCTGTCCCCATTACGTCTTTCCTGACCTTTCCCCCTTGGCCACGTGAGCACTGTCGGGAAGCCTGGGTGTCCTTGCTGCTGCTGTCTGCTGTGACTGCCCTGCTGGCTGAATAGGAGCTTTCACTGTTTTCCAGACCTATTCATTCTTCTTGTCTTCCTCCTTTCCCAGCCTTTGATGGGAGGCATGGGGTCTTGGCACTAGTGCAAAGAGAGGGGATAAAGAACAATTCCCTCTGCTGTGAAAGACAATTAACTATCTTCTCTGGTTTTTTCTATGCCTTCCCTGTTAGCATCCAGAGCTTCCCAGTCTTTCTGTCTTTCCCTCCAGCTTCTGAGGTCAGACCTTAGGGTATGGTGGGAAGTGGTGGTGTAACCGTTTGAAAGTGTTGGCGTGTGTTAAATGTCTTGTATAGTGATGAAACAGATGTCAAAAGATATAAGAATGCAAAAGACCTCAGGATAGCTGATTTTTGGTGGTTCTAAACCTTATCACTCTAAAAAAATAACATCTTATTTTTCCACAATGATCACTTTATATTTCTGTGAAAAATGTCTTTTTTAAAAACATTCACAAAGTGGCCATAATTTCATGTGACTTGCTGCCAGGCAGCCTTGAACCAGCCATGTACATGCGTGACTGTCCCACTGGGAGGCATGGGGTAGGCCCAGTGGGTGTTACAAGCTGCTGAGTGGGACAGTCATGCATATACTGCTGGTGGTTCAAGCCAGGAGGAACATGTTAATTTTTATTTTTATTAGTACAGGTCTATAGTATATAATGATTGCATTTACCATGGGGAATTGGCACATGCACATAACACATATTAATTCTTTTTTACATTCCCAGTAATCTGATTCTTACTTTGTATTAATTGCTTACCAACTACCAATTCAATTTATCTAAACATAGGCCTAAAAACAAAAAAACTGACACCTTTCTTTGGAAATGGGATCTTGTTGTGTTTCCTAGGCTGACCTTAAATTCTCGAACATTCTGCCTGGGATTACAGGCATATGCCGGTGTGCCTGGCTTGATGCTTTAAAAAAAAATATGTAAGAAAGGCTTGTATAGTTCTGTCTACTTACATTAGGCTATTTAAAATATTGAAAATAGCTTATAGATTTCATTTGTATTCCCCAAGAGGGTGCAGAACCTTGGGAGTAGTAGTGAGGTAGTCGGGTTACTCTGGATGAGGAAGCTAATGCCCAGGGGCAAGCTGACTTGCTCAGGACCCAGTGAGTGGCCGAGCCAGGGCTAGAACACCGGTCTTCGTATTAATGAATCCATGGGAGTCAGTGCTTTTGCCAGCGATGGCATCATGGGCTCTCTCCTTCCTTGTGCACTCATTCTGCAAGTACTTTGGGGGCAGCAGCTGTATGTATGTATTGGTCTCGGCACAGGAAGAACCTTTATTTAGTTGAGCTTAAGTAGTCTGGGCTGTGATGTGTGCCGTGGAGCAGAGAAGAGTGGGACAGGGAGTACTGAGGGGGTGTTGCTCAGAAGACCAGATGGAGGTGAGAGTTCAGGACGAGAGGGAGACACATCTCATACAGCTGGGACTGCAGTTCACACCTGAAGCTCCTGACTGCTTCATGTGGAGCCAGAATAATCCCCTTCCTTCTTCTCTTTGTGACTTCTTGGCAGTGATGATATCAACCGGTTTAATCTGGAAAGTTACCTTTATTGACTTGTACTCTGTAAGAATTGAGGATATCTGCCAAAATAAATTTTTTAAAGAATAAACATTTAATACATTAAGAACATTTTGTGAAGGAATTTAAATAAAATGTATCAGATGACTAACATTCATTTAGTTATCATCTTACCTGAAGAAAAGATAGTTAAAAGATACTCTCTTTTACTTTAGCCATAAGATATTCACATGATTTTGTTTTTCTTTTTATTCTGCAGTTTAACAAATTAATTTATATCTAATTTCAATGATCAGCAATTGTGAATATAAGTAACTCATCCTTGTTTCTCTCCAGAGAATTCAGATTCACATCAGAAGTTCCTATTCGACTTGATTATCATGGCAAACACGTATCAATGGATCAGGTTTGGAAACTTTGCACAGATATACTCTATAAAAGTATTTTTTGCGAATGGACTCAACCTATTTTTAACTTTGCTTTGTTGCTGTTGTTGTGTGTGAGTGGGGTGTACAGTATATACCTTGGTTCAGGAACTTACTTCTCTTCGTGATTCTGGCTGTAAACCAAGTTGACTAGAACTGAGTCAAATTCAGTGGTTAGGTTCAATGTTGACCTTACTGAGATATGTGATTCAGTTCTCATCCAGTGTGGTGTGTGACCAGAATCGTGGAAAGAATTAAGTTAATGAAGTGAGGTATCACTGTATATAAACGAAGTGTAAGGTTTTTAAATTTAACTGTTTTTATAAATTAAATACCATTTGCTTAAGTCCTACGAATATATATTGGATTGTAGATATTATAAAATACATATTTTTTCTGTAAACATCTGAAGTATTTTAGCTTCATTAATGAATATTGCTTAGATTTTTTTCATATAGCCACTATGGTAAATGTTGAGTCTTTTGTTAATTTACAGATTAATCTGGACTCTTTTTACTTTAAAGGGTACATTAGCTGGGATTTTGATTGGCTTGGCCCAGTTAAACTGCTCTGAGCTAAAGTTGAAGCGGCTCTTCTATCGGCATGGGTAAGTTGATTTATTGTATGAGACTTTAAGGTGAGGTTACTAACACTAGGTCACAAGCTAAACGTGGAGCCTTAGCTAGTATGTGTCATTGAATTATTTTACAGTGTTGTCTGCAGAGAGCTCCTTTTCAGGAGATCCCTGCTGATTAGGGGTTAAGTTTTATTTTGAGGTGAAGTAGTTTGAATAGAGCAATATCTTTTAAAAATAGGTACAGTTTAGGATAGTCTTAATAATTTCATAAAATTGTAAATTAGCTTTTTCAATGAGAAAACTTGAAGTTCTCCAGGTCATGGTTCTTAGTAGCAATTAGTGGCAACTTGTAGACTTCTGCTTAATCCTGTGCCAGAGACTTCAATGCTCAAGAAATAAGAATAGCAGAATGACACACATATACTGTCTAAGCCTTGAGGAAATTAACCTTATATATCTGTTTGTATCTACCTGAGTAGAGAGAGAGGAAGATTCACACTGGGCTTAACTGCTGCTTTATATTTCTTTGTGACTTAAAAAACGTTAAGCTGTTTTTGGAGCATCTATAATATTTTATCCTTGAAGTCTGTAGATTTTCTTACAAGTAAGAAAAAACTTACGTGACTGTACGAATGTATTTCTTATTTCTGTATACTAATAGTCACTTGCTGTAGTTTGCTAGGTGTTGACAAGTTGTTCTCATATGCAATCACTGAATGGCTCACTGACATTAAGAAGAACCAGCTGCCAGGAATCCTGGGAGGTGTTGGGCCTATGCATTCCCTAGTACAATTAGGTGAGTTTTCTTCTTTTCACCCTTTTCACTTGTGGACGACCCTGAGGGTCTTCATGAGTAACATTTTTCTAGAAAACCTGCATGTCTATGACACACATACAACCCAGCCTCCATTTGGGGGTTAAGAACTCCAGAGTTAGGACGGTAGCAGAGTTTTGAACCCCACGACTGAGGTTGCTTTCTGTGTGTTGACTGTTGCAGTCCAAGGCTTGAAGGACCTGGTCTGGCTGCCCATAGAGCAGTACCGGAAGGACGGCCGCATCGTCAGAGGGCTCCAGAGGGGCGCCGCATCCTTTGGTGCCTCCACAGCAATGGCCGCCCTGGAGCTCACCAACAGGATGGTTCGGACCGCACAGGTACCTTCCTGGCCACCTGTGGAGTCACTGCAGTGGTCTGGGCTGTTTTGTTTTTAAAACAACACTGAAAATATACAAAATGTTGAGAGTAGACATTTTATTTACCATGATTTAATACTGTGCTCATTTTATTGCTTATATGTCCACTACTAAGTAATTAGTAGCATAAAGCAGTGAAATTATAGTATCAAATTTGTTTGTCTGTTTCAGGTAAATAATAACCCTTACGTTAACAGGGGATTTATTTCTGTATAAAAAGTGTATAAAAAGATCATAGCCAAATTAAAGAAAGCTTACCTGATTAAACAATGGAAGTATTACAAACTCTTGTAAACTGGGAGTATCCGTAGGGCATTTGTACTTCCTCACTCCCTGTAGGAGGTACACTTTTAGTGAGCTCTCCAGACTGTCTTCTAATTCCTGTCTTCTTCTGACAAACCCATCCAGGCAGCAGCAGAGACCGCTTATGACATGGTATCTCCTGGTACCCTTTCTATTGAACCCAAGAAGGCCAAAAGGTTCACTCATCACCGCTTAGCCCACCAGCCAGTGGACCTGAGGGAAGGCATGGCCAAGGCCTACAGTGTGGTGAAGGAGGTGCGTGAATACCAAGGGACAAGTCCCAACTGCCTGTGTGCGTCTCTGCCCCGCTCACAAGGGCAGTCACTGATTTCAGTGTGTTTAAGAGAAACCCCCAGGAGAGGGCTGGGAGCCGCCACCTGTAGCACGTGACGTGTGTGTGAAGTGCAGGAAGAGGCTCGGTTGTGACGATGAGCTCCCATGCGGGCAGGGGCACATATTTTTTTCTGTGCATGTTGATACAGTTTTGTTACTTAAGTTTGTAATCAAAACTTACCAGTGTTTATATTTTAAGGTTACATAACTGGTATCATTCCACAACTTACATGTTTCAAGATATATCCATGTTGATAGATGCAATCTAATTTAAGTGTTTTTATAGTATTTCATTGTAGGAATACACCACAGTTTCCATACTTCACTACTGGTGGACATTGAGTGTCCCTCTTTTCTCTGAAACACTGCTATGGGGAGTGTTCACCTGCGTGTATCTGTTCAGATGTATCTGGTGGGTGGAGTTGGTGAGGTGAAACTGTGGGAATTTTGACATTCATTCAGCATCGATCACTTTCTCTGTGGTAGGTGCACCATTGAACCCTCGTTCTTTCTGAGCGTTGTCAGGGGCATCCCCTGGCTTCATGTATCTTGACATTCTTCTAATATGACATAAGGGAGCTGGCAGTCATGGTGTGTATGACTCATGTTTTAGGATTTCATTAAGGATATTTTCTCAGTCATGTTCAGAGGACAGTCAGAAGGGTATAGGCCAGACTTTTACCTGATAGAGGTAGCCCCAATGGCCCCTACATCTGTGGGAAGACCCCTGAGGTATAGGGTCAAGAAATGTATGGGTAGGTATTTAAAGGGAAGACCAAAGGTCAGCTTTCTTTAAGAGAGAGATCTAGTGGGGAGACTAAAGAGCGTTACTAGGCAGTCCTGTTCCTCCCACTTGGGCCAGTTATCAACAGACACATCGGAGGTCAGATTTGGAAAACCAGCAGTGAAGTTCAAGGCACAGCAGGGTGGCTGGCAGCACAATGGCATAGCACTTTTGCCTAAGGTACGAACTAGTCATTTAACATGGATATTGATGCACTTGCTTTGTACCAAATGTACAGTGACCTTAAAGACTGCTGATGTGCCCTGCTTGCAGATGAGGAAACAGCTCCCCAGGATGGCAGCTCCCCATTGAGGTGCAACCAGGAGGTAGTGGGGCCAGGACTGGAGTATAGAGAACTGGATCCAAAGTTTAGTTCTTCTCTAAATCTTGGCAGAAAGAATGCCAGAGAGGAGGGCGAGGACAGGGGATGCTGGTGTAGACCAAATATGAGTTCTATATGAAGAGGTTGTTCCTGATTAGTGATTTGGTTGTTAATATGTAACAGGTAAAGAGCAAAGTCACAGGTGTTTCAAAGAGATCTTATCCTTTACATCAGGGGTTGGCAGGCTACCCTGCAGGCCCCATCTGACCCAGGCCTGTTTTAGGATGAGTGTATTGGTCAACTTTCCTATAGCTAGGACAAAATACATGACACCCACAGCATAAAGGAGGAAAGGTTTATTTGGCTTACAGTTTCAGGGGATATAGTCCATGGCTAGTTGTTCCCAAGGCAGGAATGTCACAGTGGAAGGGTATGGCAGAGCAGAGCTGCTCACCTCATGGCAGTGTGGAAGCAGAGCACAGGGGAAGAGCACCAGACAGGAAGAGAGAAGAAACTATGTATAGTACCCAAAGTCGTGCCTCCATAACCCACCCAAGCACCCTTAGTCGCTTTATTAATCTCTTACTAGTTGCCTCAGAAGTCAGTCAAGATTAACTGTCACAGTAAACCTTTGAGCTGATAATTTTTTTGCAATTGTAAACAGTTAGAAAAGAAATGTGAAAAAATGTCTGAGGTCTGGCCCGTTACAAAGTTTGCTGACCGTTTGTGTAATTCTGTTCAGTGGTAGGCAAGTCCTTGTGAGTATGGGAGTAGTCACCTAGAGATTCTTCATTGGACATACTCTGTCTTCCAAGTGGTGCCACCCTCTTGAGATGAATTGCGCCATTTAATTCTGACAAACACCATAGGAAGTAGGCAGTTAGCTAAGTGATGAGGCTGCAGTTTAAATTTACTTTCATGTCTCCATTCTTGGTAGTGTTAATCATTATACTGTGATAAACTAGTACCTGCCTGTCCTTGGTAAAATAGGGAAGGAGGGCAGGGAGGGCTGGGAGATGATGTGTGTATTTGTATAAATGGTCAAAGTTTGCTTTGTTTCTCAGTTTCTCCTGCTGGCTATTATATTCCAGATCATTTTAAAATGGCACTTAAATTTCTTTTACTTTTTTCTGGCCTCTGTGTGTGCGTGTGTGTGTGTGTGTGTTTACCCCTGGTGCTGGATGTGTTTGCCTGGTGCACTGGGTAGAAACAGTACTTTATTACCTGGCCGATGTGATAGCTAGATTCTGGGTTAGGACAAGGTCCTTGATTTCCCTGGAGAGCCCAAAGTTTCTTTATGCTGTACCTGCCACTGAAGCTGTCACAATGGAATGTCCCTGAGGATTTCTGAGGTAGAGAAGTGGCAGAGATTCACTTCAGGTACTATGCACACTTATATATTCAGCCTCTGGCATAGTGGTCGTGATTATTTTATTTTTTTTAGTACATGTTTGCAATGATTACATCCATTGTGCGGAGTTGGTGCAGGGGCATAACACATCCTAATTCTTTAATGCCCTTCCCGTCCTCCCTCCCCCTCCTCCATCTCTTGGTTCCCTTCCCACTTGCAGAAGATCTCCCAGTCATGATTATCTTAATATTAAATGGTGAGAAGAAAATAGAAATTCTTCCAAAGCTTTGTTTCTAATAATTAAGCACCAGGTTCCTGCTTTACCTTCTCAGAATTTTCTATGAAACCCAATAAAATATTCTATTTGGGGCTTATGTTAGTGGAATGTTCCACCGATGTCTTTTCTAATACATAGCCAGTAATTGTAAACAAATAATTTTCTAGAGCTTAGTAGAATGAAATTTTCTTATGTTGCATCAGAAGAGCTAGTCCCACAGTCCTTTAGTGACTGTGTATTCAAGCTCTGTTTGCTAAGTTGATTTAATGGGAGTGATTAATTTTGCCAGCAAGGCTACTCTTAGATCATTAAGTAGTTCTGTAAATCTGCTTGTGAGAAATTGTGGTTTAGCTACATTTTCCACTCATTAGTGTCACAATAAAATACTAAATTGTAATAATCGCCTCTTTGCCGTATAGTGAGAATTTTGTCATAAAAATAATTACTCTGGGTAATCTCAAAACAGGGTTTCTGTTTGTTTTCTTTCAGTGTAGTGACAAGCATGATGTTAACTGTAATAAAAGTGTGTGGCACAGGATAATTTTTTTTTCTGGCCAGTGAGTCACGCCCTTCTCCCATCCTCCCCACCGCAGGGCATCGCAGACACGGCGCAGACCATTTTTGAAACGGCAGCTCGAGAACATGAGAGCAGAGGGGTCACCGGGGCCGTGGGCGAGGTCCTGCGCCAGATCCCCCCTGCGGTGGTGAAACCTCTGATTGTTGCCACAGAAGCAACGTCAAACGTGTTAGGCGGCATGAGAAACCAAATCAGACCGGACGTCCGGCAAGACGAGTCGCAGAAATGGCGCCACGGAGAGGACTGACGTCCCCGTGCAGCTCTGCGAAGAGAACCAAGGTGGAAACCAGGCGCTTTGTGTCCCGTGGCAGCTTTAGCTCCTTTAATTTTCTTGTGCTCATCTCAGGAAAAAAGCATTTTGTGGTTCAATAATTTAATGTCAAAATATACAACCAAAAACTTCTGACATCTTAGGGCTGGTTTGGTATTTGCCTGTAGAAGTGGCTGGTGGCTGGTGTCAAGGGTCATTAAAGCATTTGCTGCCAAGTTAGTGGAATGCTCGCTTTTATTAAAGTGACCATAATTCTCCTTGTTCCAGACAAGCTACCATCGGAACCTCCTTTCGCAATACAGAGCACTCAGACAACATTGGAGCACTCTGCATGATTCGTGTAGTCTTGGGAGGTGATTTCTCTCAAGGTTTAAAAAGAATCACAGCTTCAAAACTTTCACTGAGAGCGTGAGAAGCCACAGGGGAAGCAAAAACAGACAGGATTTTCAAGATAATGTCATAAAACTAATAAGCTGTGTTTCGGCGCACTCGAGAACAGTTTGCTTTCCGTTGACTGGGAAGAGCCTTCTGCAGGGTGGAGGAGATGAACGTTGCAGACATGTTCTGTTGGGTTGCACTTTATCCTGTGTGTGTGTGCGTGTGTAGATCAGTACAAGTCATGTGCTGTATTTTTTATGTCATTTTCAAAGTTAACACAAAATATGAAGAGGAGTAAATGTGTCTGAACGTTTTTGGCAAAGAAAAATAACCCAAATGTAACAGCCTCCTTTACTTTAAGTGGCAGTGTGCATTCTGTGGGGACTGGGGCCCATTTACTTGTTTGTATGTTCCATTTTAAGCAGGTATAGTACAAGCTTGTTAGGGATGTGTGGAAAGGGAGAGTGGAGGTTGTTTTTACTCTTCGAACATTAAATGAAAATCCTCAGAAATATGCCCTAGTCAACTAATTCACAGTACCATTTTTACATGGTTAACATGTACATTTTGATAACCTGTCAGGAATGAATAAAGTATTTTTATTTAAAGGTAAAATGGTTCTATGCTTCCATGAATATTTTGCTTTTCTTAGAGCATATTCATAGATGTAGTACCCCAAAATATTAGGGAACACTTCCTCAAAATTAACCGTGGTTACTGTCAAGGAAATCATGACCACAGAGCGAGAGGGGAGCGCTCCTCAGCCTGTGACCAAGCAGGCAGGAACGGGGCTGGGCAGCTTCTTTTCTGAGGAGTCTGAGGGGGACCATATCTCTTCTGCGTGCTTGGGGTTTCAGAACTGCCTTCACTTTGGAGTTGGAAAATGAAGTTAAATCAATTTCTTTCTCTCAGTTTTCTAAACAGGAAAGCAATTTTCTAAACAGGAAAATCCAAACATTTAGAATTTACACAAGAAAGGTGTTAGGTAGCGTTTAAATTTATTTTCTCTTTTTGCTGTTGAAAAATGTGAAAAGGCAGTGCTGGAGTGAGCCTCTGTGTAGGCATTGGAACCATCTGGTACTACTGTGTTCTTGAGATGAAATCCATAAGGATGTGGCCCTGCCAGATGCGAGGGGGTAATAGTCCTGTTTATGACCATGACAGTCCAGCCTGCCTCCGGCTCCTGGACACTTAACTCCAGCGTCTGTCTGCCCTTATCATGGAACACTGTGTTACTTACAATTCATCAAAGTGAAAAACACTTGATCAAGCTTAAAAATCTTTTAATCCATAGTTACCCAAAGTTTGATTAGATTTAGTGTAGGGGAGGTAGTTATCCCCTGTCCTCTGAGTGACAGGTGGACCTTTCTTTTATCAAATTAAGCATATAAAGTCTGCGTCTTTCCCATACGAACTATGCTTCTTTGTTCTGCCCTCCTCTACCTGCTGTGGATAAAGTTGATGGGGACAGAAACCTTGTGACCACAGAGTCTGTCTCAGAGGTCCATTCACGGTCCATTTAGCCAAGATGCTCTTCACTTGAGGTATCTGTACAGGGTCTGTTTATATTTAACACTCCCAAGTTCCTGCATTTTTAATTTTTTCTTTGTAAAGAAGTGTTCGTCCAGACTTCCATGTTGTGATGGCACAGTAAAAAGCGTTTGGCAGGATCCTTACGATGCCTGATCTGGGACTTAGCAAGTGGGCAGCTTGGCTGTGACATTGAATCCCAAGCCTCACTGCCCACGCCTGCACGTGAGGGTCCGAGTGCATGGGTGCGCATGCGGGCACGTGCCCTTGTGCCCAGTAGAATGTCCGGCCCTGTGCTGCCTCAGCTCAGTGACGGCAAACCTCTTAGAGCTTTCACTCATACGAACCGCCCACTGCAGCACATGTGCCGTAGTTTGCTGCCACTGATCTAGGGGGCAGTGCTCCGGTCTCATCACACCCAGAGCAACCAGGGGCTACTTCAGTGCTTGGGACTCTCAGAATGATACACGGCTGAAGCCTAGATGGGCTGCTTTCTTTCCTTTTTGAGACAGGGTCTCACCATGTAGTCCAGGCTGGTCTTAAACTCATCGTGTACCCTAGGCCTCAAACTCACTGTGATCCTCTTACCTCAGCGCCCCGAGTGCTGGTGTGCGCCATTGTGCTTGGCTAGATGTGCTGCTCCTGATCGGAGTAGACTGCACATGGCCACTTGTTGCTACGCTGAGTCCACGTAGAGTCTCCCCAGAGTTCTGGTGAGAAGCTGAACCAGGATCTGCCAGTGAGCTCAAATCCCTACAGTTCTGTGCATGTGTTCAGCTGACCTCATGTCGTAAAAGGAAAGGCAGTGAGGGACATCACAGCTCTTCCCCTTGCATGGCAGGGATGTAGAATCCCTGCTTTTCCCTTCCTGTCTGTCGCCACATGGCTGTGACTCATAAGCAGAACATCCTTTGAACATTTGCCTTGTAGGATGGATAAAACCTAATTCGTCTTGCAGACATCATAGCACTAGATTTTCATTTTAACAAAGTTTGGGTACAGTTGGGATTTCCACTTAGAGTACATACATTTGACACCAACAGTTTTGTAAT